GCCTCCAACTAATGAACCTCTACCTATTACACAGATCAATCACAGAAGCTGTGATTTTACTTCAGATTTTGTAAGAACGAAGTATTGCAGAGAAACACATCTTCCCTAGCTGGATAACTACTGGACAGACTGTCTAGTAAGTTGTGACTTCAATTCATTGATACTGCATCTATATCAGTATCAGTTACGTTACAGTTAGACTTCAGTGTTTAACTGAATGTCTTCTACCTACTGACTAGTCTAATGCCCATCTGCAGACATTTCACATGCTTAAGGACTATACTTCATGGTATACACAGACCTCAGTACAAGAAGATCTAACAGAGAAGCTGCGTGGCGTGCTGGTTGCCATTCAGAACTCCCAGGAAAGAGATCACTACATCCAGAAATACACAAGGCAGCCCATATTAGGGAAATGGCAAACACAGACTCCTTTCTCCAGATGCGAATAATCCAATCCCCTTCAGAAGTCACTTTTTCCACTGAAGCCCAAATCACTCACTGTGTTTACAAACAGACTATAAATATTTCAGGGAAAGTTACCTCCAGATTGCAGCTGTACTCCTGGAGTTAAGTGAAGAAATTCTGGTTTCTTACTAACTCTAGATCCAGATATGAATCCAAAAACAAAATCAGAGTTGTCTTCAGCCATCTGTACCTAAAAAGGACCAATAAACTGCATCAAGTGATTTATCTAAAATTAAGCTTGCCCACCATTCTGTTTCTAATTAAGCTGTGCAGGGCAGGAGTATGGAATACCAATCTAAAGTCATCCAGCACTGACTCATTCTTCACTGATATTGCCGAGCTTGCAAATAGGACTGCAAAAGATATATCTAAGTTATAAGTGAACGTTCATTCAGTGTATTACTTATTACATATTCATTGCTAATGAAAAAAACATGGCCAATGGCAAACCTGGTGTATTCACTAGAACTCACAGCATGAACTCCAACATCACTAGCCTACAGATGCAACCTTCAAATGCCACTCTCTCTCCCGAATTTCCACAGAAAGAAAACTTATCACATAGCTGGAGAGACTTCTGGGAGTGTAGATATTAGCAGCACACAAAACCTCCCATCAGAACACTTTACAAGCTGTTAACCTTAAACAGCACCGACTTACTGCAGCTTTTGTGTATTCACCAGTTGCAAGTGACCCCTGGGAACTCATCTCAGCAATCAGAAGGCAACCGCGCTGCAGGGGAAGGCCCACTTCCTTCAGTCCTTTCACAACTCCAGAGCCTGGAACCACATGTGCATTAACCACATCCGACCAGGATGCTATTTTGAACACACCACCTAAGAACATAGATACAAAGACCCAGGCAAAGTGAAATTAGTTGTCAGAAATGCATTAAACAAGAAGCGTGAATTAAACAAAACAAGCAGTGCAATAAACCATTCCAATTTTAAAAGGCTTTTCACTACTGAAGCTTAACAGCCTTAACAGCCGAGTTTTATCAGACAAACCTGATGGCTACATAGTCACAAAGCTACCATAAGCTAAAAATTGTGTCACAGGTGCAACAGTATACAAGATCTTAAGGAGAACAGTATCAGAAAGGGGGAAAAAGCATTGGGCAGTTGCAAATGCAGTAACAAAGAAAGCCACAAGAAGCATGCAACATACAATAGAAAGCTTGCATTAGAAACCACACACACCCTTCTCCACGCAAACAACCATTCGGAAGTACTTACTGAGCACAAGCATAGATTCATTAAAAGATTTAGGCTTTGGAAAGGACCTCTGGAGGTCATGCCCCCCAGCAGGGCTAACTAGATCAGGTTGCTCAGGGCCTTGCCCCTCAAGTTTTCTCCAAGGTCAGACGTCCCACAGTCTCTCCTGACAACTTGTTCCAGTGCTGCAGTTACACAGACTGGCAGCAAAATTATGGCACATCAAGGCTGATGATAATCACCTTCATACTGATGTTTCACTGTGTTTCCAATGTCTGCAAATTTCCTGTCTTCAAAAATCAAGAACTCGTGTTGATCTGCGAGTGCTCTCAGCTCCTTTACTACCTCTTGGGTGAAATCATTCAGGATATCTATATGAGTCTTTAGGATACAAATGCTGGGGCCCAGGCTGGCAGCTAACTGCAGCAGTTCTTTGGATCCTGTGACGTCTGCAGAAAGGCACAAGTTTGTCTGCTTCTTTTCCATGAGTGTGAAAAGCCTGGCTGCGACAGGATGCACCCCGGGCAGCTCAGCACGAGCCCTGAAGCTCAGCTCTTTACAGACTCTTTTCACTGGAGTTGGACCATTCTGAGCCCCTGGCTCAAACACGTTTCCCTGAATGAAATTCTTCACCTTCTCAACCATCTCCACATCCACTTCTCCCTGCTGCTGGAGAATATCTAACATCTCGGACAACGTACACACTGAGTGTAGGCGAATTCCATGTTCTTCTAACCTGGCCTTCCCCCCCTGCTCCCTGTCCAGCAGCACTACAGCATCTGTGATTTTTAATCCTTCCTTCTGAAGAACTTCAGCAGTTTCCAGTACGCTAGATCCACTTGTTACCACATCTTCAATAATCAAACATGTTTCTCCTGGATTAATGGTGCCTTCTACCAGCCGTTTGGTACCTTTAAAAGAGAAGGAAAACGTTCCACTAAATAAAGTACAAAAGACCTCAGAATGTACCCAACGTGTCCAGATTTTAACCTGAGATGTTAACGTAAAGACCGTATTTGTTTTGCATACAAGTATATGCTGCAGTAAAAATGGAATTGGGCTTCAGGTTTATAAGAATTTCATACTCACTGTCAGAACGCAGAGTAGTTATGTCATTATTACTGATTCCAGATATCACATCTCAGGCATTGCCTCATAACTCAATTCATAGTGTGTTACTTCTCCAAGGGGACAAAACACATTTCACACGATCCACTACCACAACCAACATCTTACTGACAGCACATCTTTTAACAGTCTTTAATGAAGCTCACTAGAAGTTTATTATCGCTATGAACTGAACCTTCAAAACATCAAAAATATTTTTCCTGTTACTGAAAAAGTCTTTAAACTAGCAAAGTTATTGAAACTCTTCAACATATTTTCTGTTTTCTACAGGCATTATTCTATGCTTAATATGCATGTTGGTTGTTAGAACAATCTGGAGGAGTAAAGCCCCCAGATGCCTTTACCATAACCAACAATAGGCACAAGTCCATGAAAGGCCTCCCAGGGGGCAGCAACAAAGGAAGCCTGGCTTTCTGAGGAAGCAGGGAGCAGCGGGTGAACATTATGCAGCCACTGCAGTGCTCAGACCATGGCTGCCTCACAAGTGTCAGTACAGCTTTGCAATCTGTGTGACACCGGAAACCTCACGCCATGCAGTTAATTGCTGTCACAATCAACTTGTCCTTCACAAGAATGAACAGCAAAAGTTCTCATGCCTAGCACACTGACTAACAAAGGAGTACCATTTAGGTTTTACAAACATCCTGTCTTAATGATGTTGGGAGAGAGCTTATCACAGATGGAAATCCAGTTGCCAGGGCTGGATAATACTGTACTCTTCCCCTCTACAAGCACCTCGCCCCTGCTTCAACCAAAATCAAGTAAAATTGATTGCTATGTACAGAACTGACTGCTTCTCACCTGGCCCACTTTGCCTGCTGATTATAGGATATGAAAGTGCAAGTGAATGAGAGACAACAGAAGAATAAAGATTCTTTTTGGAGTTGATATGCAAAAAGTTGTTTGGAGGTCAAACATAGCACCGGCCTCAGCATTATCAAAAACTGCATTACAAATCTGCTTCTAGAAGAGGGCAGTAAACTACAGCAATGGTGTTAAAGGAAAAAAGACACCGTGGGAACAAAGAGGAAGCCTGAGACCTTTCACCCCTACTACAGCAGAAGCCCAGCTGCAGCTGGGAGAGCATGTTTGGGTTGGGATATTATAAGAGGTATGCTTAGGGGAAATGGGATTGCTATTTGAGTTGGAGTGATAATCTTAAACTAAAACAGAGATGTACATGACAAGACAAGAAGTAACGACAAATTCATCATTTGACAGTTTTACCATAATCTTTTGCTTCTTTCCTCCGTATAAGCATTGGAATCTGATTTTCAGAGCTGATGATTGTGGCCAACGGCAAAGCCGTGTATGGAACACCACACACACAGTCATACTGGAGAGCAGCGTCTTTTGCTGCTTGGAACAGAAGATCAGCAACCTAAAAAATATGTATATTTCAGGAATCAGACCAAAGTGAGCACTGCTAAACAGTATCTCCACGATTCCTAAAGACCTTCAGATATGGTGATTCCACCACCACCGGGGCAGCCGTGCCACTGCATCACCCCTCTTTCAGAGAAGAAACGTTTCCTAACATCCAACCTGAACCCCCAGGCACAACTTGAGGCCATCACCTCTCACCCTATGGCTGTTACCATAGCACAGGCCGACCCTCACCTCGCCATAACCTCTTCACAGGGAGCAGCAGAGAGCCGTACAGTCACCCCTAAGCTCCCCCTTCCCCAGCCCGAACAATACCATTCCTTAGACACGCCCCACATCCTCGACTCCCGTCTTGTAGCAAACAGCCCAACCCACCTCCCCGACCAAAGCCGGGCACCGCGACCCTAGAACCCCCCTCAGACCCCTGAAGCCACTCGTCCAGCCCCTCCCTCCCCACAGCACCAGGCGGAGCAGGGGGGGCCGGGAGGCCAGGCCGCGCAGGTCCACGTAGACGGGTGAGGCGATGCCGCTCCGCAGCACGAAGTCTCCGAAGCGCACAGCGCCCGCCTCCAGCAGCGCCGCAGCCACGCGCTCCGCGCCGCCCGCCGCCATCTGCCCGCCCGCTGCCCGGCGCCGGGAGATGACGGAAGCGGCGACACCGTGAGGAAATGCGCATGCGCGGAGGTGCGATGGCTATTTGTGTCCCCCCCCCCCCCCCCCAGGCCGCGTTCACGCGTTCCGGGTGCAGTTCGTTCCCACTCCCATCACCAACAACCCGCGCTGGGAAAAGAGACTGAGCCGCTGTTCTCTGAACAACTGAGTTTAATCCAAAATAAATAAAGAAAATAAAGCCCAGAAACTGCATCGTTAGCACAGTCTGTTCATAGGGAGGGGGCGCAGTTCGAAGCCATGTCCGTAGCGTTGGATCACGCCTGGCGTAGCAGTGTGCTTCAGGCTGCACTGTGTGCTGGCATCATTAAGGCTGTGGCATCACTTTGCACCTTGACAACACCGTGCCATCAGCTGGGCCTTCCCCCTTCCTCCTTCAGCTGGCTGCTGGAAAGCTGACGAGCACAGAGCTTTGCTCTTAGTGAACAAGGTTGAGGTGGCCACAGTCTGTGCAGAGCCACGCTCACCTGTCCCACCACTCTTCCACAGCCAACACGTGGTGCTGACACAGCACAGTGCCAGACCCAGCTTGGCAGCACCTGGCCTGGCCTTGCATCTTTGGGAAGCACCGTGTTGGGATAGAACGCTGCCAATGAGCCACAAAACAAACCCAGGCCCTATGCTGGATGTTTGTCTCTGGGAGTTTACACGGCCCAGGTCACCTGATACAGCCCTCTCATTGCAAGGGCATTAAAATACAGTTATATATAGTCACATTGCACCACGCAGTTCTGCATTCAGCCTTTGTGGCATTTGTAACAAGGCCCACTGAGGGCACAGGCTTTGTCTCAGCTTTACCTTAGGTTAAAAGTAAAATTATTTTAAAGGTGTTAATGAAAATAAAGCTGTTTAAAATAAAAAGGCAATTAGACTGCTTTAAAGAATTGTTAAAACAGTATTTAACCCTCCAGTTTCTATCAAATGAGAACAGAAGAGAGAAAAGACATAGAAAGGCTTAAATATTCCCTTAATCAATCTGATCTTTTCCCTCCATAGGCCCACAGTGCCTGTTTTCACAGTTTGAAATGTGAATGCAGGACATAGCAAAAGAAAATGATAAATAGCTTGAGATTTCCTGTGATACGTGAGAATCTGTTTGTACTGGTGCCAAGTAGAAAGAGTGTTGTTCAAAGTGTACCCATGGGCCCCATAAAAGCTGTAGGTTTTATAAACCACACTTCCATAAACATTTTCTGAAAGGCAGCACAATCACAGCACAGAGAGCCAGCTTTGACAAATGGGAAGAAGCACAAACAGTCCTGCAGTGAGGAAGTACCTGAGGCTGGAGCTAATTAAAGACACCCCTTGATGACTGCATGGAGATGTTTCAGTTGCTAAGAAATTGTACACCTCACACTCCCACTCAGGAGGAGAGTCTGGTCTTTGTCTTTGAGGTGCTACTGAATTGCTTGGAAAACTAGTTGCTGCACTACAGAGGGAAACTGAAATCGGTTCAGAAGTTTTAGCCCTCCATGAACACTCAAGCCTTCCCTCAACTTCCCCTGGGATCAGATCACACGCTCAGTCTTGTATGCTGTCTCTGACTCTGTGTGGGCTTACCCATCTGCCTGTGGCTCCCAGATCTTAAGGTTTGCAGCACTGAACGTTGTAACTTGCTGTGCCTGACTGTTCTAGCATCCTGGTAGAGCAAGCACAAAGAGAAGGGCCAGGTCTCCAAATGCCATGAAACTGAGCTCAGAGGTGGATCAGAAGGGCTAGCAGAGACCTGGGAATTTGCAATACTTGCAGAGTGTCTCTGTCACCTGCTGGTAGAACCAGCTTTTGATCCTGATGATATATCACAAACTCACAGTGCAGTTAGTTGGATGGTGAATTGAATTTGGCTCTTGCTCTGATGAGATATCTCAGGAGAGCCTCTGCTGAGTACACATGGCCAGAATAAGCCCTTTTCCTTAGGAAAAGCTTTGGTAACAACTGACATTTCCTATTGCAGGCACAGCAGCGGCACTCAGCACTGAGACAACTCACTGATATGCCAAGGGGAAAAAAGTCTGATCATCAGCCAGGAAGGCTGCGGGGTTTTATGGTGCAGCAACCAGGGAGGTGTTTTCCCTTCCTGCTGCTACAGAGAAGACTTTGCCAGCCCACAGACTGCTGATCTGTCACTGCAGGCTCCCTGCATTGCTCATACTTAAGGCTGGCTCCGTCACCGTAACATCACTGTGATGATGTTCCAACTTGGCTTGCAAGAGAGAAATGTTTTAATTGTGGATTTTTTTTTTTATTATTATTTTATTACAAATTAGGCTTTGGACAGAAAAATATCCTCACAAATGCTTTGGCGATGAGGTGCTAATGGCAGCTGAGAGATATTTACAAGACTGGAAATGAACCAAATGACATACTTTTAACACTGAAAACAATTTTCAAGCTGTAAGCACAAGGATGGACTCACCACTTACCAACTGCACTTTGAAAGGCTTTAGATGGACTTTGGGCCAAGCAATTCTGAAGCTAGAAATGGAACAGGATCCTTTATATATATATATTTATATATATATATGATACAATATATGTATACTGAAAACCTGTGATAGAAAAAATTGTCTTCGTCAATCATCACTTAGTTTACAGATACTGCAAAAATTGGACTCAGCCTTTTCTCAATGCACAGGTTTTGCAAAAGGTTTCTGTACAGTGTATATAAAATGCATTAAAAACAAACAAACAAACAAAAAAAAAAACACCATCACAGTCCCATTGTGCTTAGTCAGAAACAGCTGTATGCTCCAATGAATTCATTGCCTCAATCATAGCTCCAAAAGGTACTGCACGTTGACTTGATGCAGTAGAAAGCCCAAGGATTAACATGGGATTTTATTCTGAGCACTACCATGTAATGAGGGTGTATCTAAGCCAAGCCACCACAGAAGCTGATCCAATAGGCCTGATCTTGCAGGTGAAATCCTCACAGAAATCATAGGAGACCTGGGCATACAGAGCACAAAAAATCCATCTGTTCACCCAGAGCAGGCATGCAGTGACTTCAATGAGAGCTGCATTCAGCCAAGTCCTGCAATACACACAAAGGTCAGCCTAGATTTACTCCTCCACACTCTATCCTACACCTAATCTCTCGTACACTCAGAAATCAGTTCAGCAAGATCAAGAGGATTTCTGGTAAGGCTGCCTCCCAAAGATTAAGGCAACTGCAGTTTTGGTTCTTCTCTCCAGTTGGTGTTTGCTGCTGTGTATTGTGGAGATGCTTCCAGGAGGTGCTCATTGAAGAGGACACCTAAGTACCTGTCACTGTTACCCTGCTTGCTTTGATCCTGAGTAACTGAGGAGGTACCGGGACCTCTGGACAGATTTGTACCTTCAAATGCCAACACTGAATACAGAAGTATGTACAGAAGCTCTGCTTTGGGCCTGCTCACTCCCTGTGCCCTGCCTCAGAACCAGCAGTGTAGTGTCCGGGGAGGTGGGCATTACGTCCCAGGGTTAAGCCTGCTCATCAGGAAACTCTTGACACCGGGGACAGGGTGCACGTCATACTGGTGCCTGCGGCGTTCAATGAAGGATGCCAAGCGAGAGGTATCCAGTGGGATTTTGGAGTAGCTGCCATTGTGTGGCTGCAGCCATGGGTGCTGTAAACAAGTGGCTGCTGTCGGCCTCCTCCTGAAGTCTTCCTGGAGGATGACGTTAATGAAATCCCTGGCGGCGTGGCTCACATCAGAGAAGTACTCAGGTGGGAAGCTGAAATCGACTCTGCACACATTGATACAAGTCTCCTCTTTGCTTTCATCTAGGAAGGGTGAGACACCGCTCAACATGACGTAGGTGAGGACCCCGATGCTCCAGATGTCTGTGCTCAGGGATACAGGGAGGCCCTGGATAACTTCAGGGGCTGCAAACTCTGGGTTTCCAAGGAGATGGTGGACGTGGTAATGGCCTGTGATTTGAACTGCATCTTCCAAATCAATGATCTTGACACGAGGAACTGGGATCCTTAAATCGATGAGCAGATTCTCTGGCTGTTGAAAAGGGAACAGTGAAAATGTAATTATGCTTATTATACTTATTTTTCCTCAAAGCAATCTCTACAGATTAACAATACTTTCAGATATTTTAATTTTGAGAAAGGACTTGTGTATCTCTGATAGAATTATTTAGATTCCGTTTGTTTTTGTGACACCTGGATGACGTGTGTGTAATTTGTAGCAGAAGGGTTCTTTGTAAAGCAAATGTTAAACATTTTGCCCACTGCCTCTCTAAATTTACATTTCCATTGATCTATCCTTTAGCTCCTCATCCTCACGCATATTCTGTGTATACAATGCACTACTGTTCAAACCTCTCCACTTGCTCTTGTTTTGTGTGTGTTCTGCACTGACAAAATTAATTCATTCTGGAGCAAGATCTTAGGTCTCAGGACAAGGCATGGCGATGCACTCATAGTGCATCTTCTGCTTCCTGCTCAGCAACAGAAGGTGCTTTATTTAGCATGCTTCACTCAGGAGAACTGTAAATAGGTCACAGAAAATTGGCTTCCCACTTTGTTTTTGGGAAGTATCTTATGATCAAATAAAGAATTCAATGCAGTTTCTTTACCTAGGAGTGATGTCTATTTTTTGACAGGTCCTATAAATATAGCAGAAAATACAAACAGCCTTCCCAAAAGAAACCAGAATAATATAGCATTTTGGGACTAGTGCTCACATAAGATACTGTACAAAAGGGATCTTTTCATTTTTTTTATTAGTAGCAGTCAGCAGCAGAAGACTGAAAACACTACTTCATCTGACATGCCTGGGAGCTATAGGGCTGAGACAAGACTTCTGTGGAGCTGGATTGTCCACTCTACATGACAGTTAAATCCAGCTCTCTTTTTCCATTTTTGAATGCTGCTCAAGTCTTCAAATAAATTATAGATTAGCTGGTACTCCTGGCAATCTGATTCAGAGCTGCAGACTGCAAAGCTTGGAGCACTTGATCGTAACTTCAAACACTAGTTCTCTGTCTTTCCAGATCAATGGAGTGTTGGTGGGTATGGCAACACAACTCCAAATCCAGGACAGTGCAGTACCTCCTGCCACACATCTTAACAAAAGGAGGTACAAGCTGTGCTAATCTCACTGAGCATGACATTGCAGACCTCAGATATTTTTCTGAACCTCTCCCTGGGTGCACTTCCCACCTCTCTCAGGCTCTGTAGCACAATCAGCTTGCTGCTTTCCCCTTTCAGCTCTTCCTACCTCCTGCTCTCCTGCACCATCCTCTGCTCTTGCTTACCATGTAGTGAGTCCAAGCTATGCTCTGGGGATGTATCTTATAACTCCCCTTCACTCAGAAGCTACCGACTCTTGCCCTTCTCCCTCATTAAATCCCTCTTCCAGAAAGCCCTTGAGAACAAAACAGTAAATTAAAGAAATAGTGCATCTCTGAAGGAAGAAATAGACCTTGGAGGTTACTGAGTCCTTTCTCTGGTCAGCACATCTGGAGGGTAGTGCTTGTCCATTCAGCATCACTTCTTGGGGCACACGCTGCACCTCCTTGCTGTGTGTGCAGCTGGGAACTCTCTGTAGCAGGACACTGAGTAATAGCATCATTCTCTTCTCTTCTTACCTTTATATCTAAATGAGCCACTCGGCAATTATGAAGATACTGCAAGGCTTCCATTGTGTCTCTTATGTAGAAAGCTACTTTTTCCTCCATAAGTTCATCATGGTTCATTAGATAATCTAGGAGACGACCATCATCCATCCTACAAAGAAATCAAACCCCACACCTGAAAGATCATATGACATCTGCAGGAATAGCTAGTATTTGACAACAAAAATGCAATGGAAACTTTGGGATCTAAGAATAGAGGAAATAAAAATGAGAGATTTGATTAGGGTCTAACGATATCACGAGGTACTGCAGGGCATGGAAGTGGTATAATGATTAATCTTTGATTAGTCCTCAGTTGTCATTCCTGGCCCTTAATAAATTTAGTGACAATCTCAAAGTACACTAAGTTGCTTAAGGACGGATTCAACAGACAGAGGAGATTCCTTTGAAAACAGATACACTTAATTACTTGGATTCATCTATTCTTTTATAGAGATGGTTGCATAATGCAGAAAAAAAAATCACTGATATTTCAGCTAGTGGTGTGTTCTGTGGGAAAGCTAACTCAATAAAAGTTTTCCACCTAGTTTTATTTATCTGTATAAATGAACAAGCAAAGAGTCCAAATATGCTTGAATTGGATGTACTGTAACAAAGAAGCAGTTTGGATTTTGGTTGCTATTTCTCCTAGGGACAAACATAGTCCCAGTGCAGCTTTTTTCATCAAGAACTATTAGAACAGTGTAGGCTCCAATCTACTGAAGTGCATTTGCTCAGATATAGAGAGCAGACTAAACTGCCCAAAAAAATCTGATGCTATGTGACAAACTAACTGCTGATACAAATACTGAGCTTCCAGAATAGGAAGTTTTATTTCTACTTCTGAATCTTATTTACTGTAAACAAAAGGCAGTGGAAAGTCAGCAGAAAACGGCTATTTCATTTGACGTCACAGTCAGTAAGAAACAGATGACAAAGCCTTTGCCCTGCTGAAGCACAGGTGAATTTCATTGGTTTTAATAGCGCTGTGATTCATACCCAGATGCTTGAATTGTAGATCCATGTACTTACAGCTCCAGAACGAGGATGTAAGAAGTAGGAGACTCATATGTATCATGGATAGTGATGTACTGAGGATGCTGCAAGTGCTGTAACAGAGCTGCCTCATGGGCTGCTTGCTCCTTCTTCTTCATTTTTTTACTGATGAATTTTACAGCAACATCTTTCCGGGTAGCTTTGTGAATGCATTTCTTTACGATGGAGAATCGTCCCCTGGAAAAAAAGAAAAGCAGAATAATGAATGGGATCCATGAATTAATCATGCTCGTTTTTCAGTGTGATAACAGACTGATTTTCAAAGTGTTATTTGATTCAGTGCATTAACATTTCACAGGGAATCAGACTTATCTCGTTGCTCATAACCTTTTCCAACACAGAACTGCTGTCTCTCACCCTGGGTGTTTGGATTCTTTGGGGATTAGGAAATGGAGAGCAAACAGAGCACTTTGAGCAGCCATGCTGATGTCCTCTAACAACATCCCTTGGGTTCAATTTGCTGCCGTTTTTACAGGTTTTGTCTTTTGTTTCTAAGCATGGATCTACTCTCTCCAGCTGCTTGAATAATGAACCCAGACTTAAAACAACTAAGAGAAAAGCCTCGTTAAGCAATGACTAAGCAATCACTTTGTCTTGCTGATTCAGGAATACAGTAAAAAATGAAGAGCAAACAGCTGGCATGAAGGCACTTAGGAATCTCATCCAGACTGGTGCTTGGTACCATTCCTGGAAGCAAGAGTACTTAACAAAGCCATGTGCTGCACTTGGCCTGTTTTTAAGATATCACTATTCTTTCCTACCTTTGCAGCCCCAGAAGCACTTATCCCTGATCTCTGGGTGAAGACCTGGCTGCCTACACCTGCACTGTTTGCGCTGTTGCTGTTTGCGTGCTCCTTATCAGCATCATGCTGCTCTTGCTCACTGACCACCCCACTCAGAACAGCCCATTGGAATGTGCTTTCAGTCTGTCACATGCCTAAGTACTTCTGCAAACAGCCTCCGAGGTTAAGCACATCCAGAACCAGCAAGCCATCCTTACTTCAAAAGCTCACATTGAGCCAGGGGTGTCAGAGCAGACACCAGCAGGCGCTGCTGGATCTGGCTGCCCCATCATTCTGAGGTTGGCATTCAGTCATCTATGTTCCAGATCTAACGCTCAAATCACAACTAGTCTTGGGAGACAGGATGTAGCCAGCATTTTAGCCAGTCTGTATTTCAATCAGTGCTTAGTGTGCTCTTTCTAAAAGGAACAGCAATTTTCAAGCTTACTACAAAAACTGACCTAAATTCCCCGTTAAAGAACAAGTCTCAAGCCATTGTTTAGGTATTTCGCTGCAGTGATAAGCAGGGTTAATATTACCTCCCAATCTCATGCAGCTCTGCATAAGCGAGATCAAAGTTTTCCTTCCATGAAATAGTGGCACCATCAGCAGCAGAGTCTTTGGGAGAAGAAAGCACATTGAAGAAAGTGTAAAGACAAGGCAGACTGCTGTGGACTACAAACTGCATATTTAAAAGTTATGTGAGGATATGTTAATGGGTTGCCCAGAGAGCCCTGGAGGTGCTCTAGGCCAGGTGGGATGGGGGCCCAGGGCAGCCTGAGCTGGTGGGTGTCAGGGAGCTGGGGACTGGTGGTCTTTAAGGTCCCCTCCAACCCAAACATTCTGTGATTCTATGACGATAATTTTATGATATTGATTAAAAAACAGAAAAAATTACCACTGAGTGTCCAATTTCACAGTGCTCCACCACAACTCTTGTGTTTGACCCCAAAAGCCAGAACTTCCCAGGAGAAGCTGTGGCTAAGTTGACTTTAAATTTGCCCTTGAAAGTTTTGGGAGCTGAAAAGGGACACAGGGACAGTCTCAGGGCACATCTGTGTGCAAATGGGAGCCTGCTCACCATACTCTGGAAGCCTCACGAATTCAGATGGGTCACTGGGCAAGCTGATCCCCCAGGGGTTGCTGGCGCTCACACGGAACTGATACTGACAGCCTGGGGACAGGTCTTCGATGACAAGGTAAGTGTCCAGTGTGGAGGCCACTGACTGCTGCCAGACCTGCGAGCCTGCATTGTGCAGAGGGAGGAAAGGAAAAATGATGGAGACAGAGCACACACAGACTCTTTTCTGATGTGGTGCCCTGGGAGGTTAAAATCCATGGGGTTTTTAAAAGGCAAAGTGGAGGCAGATTTAATTCTGTTAAACCTTCTGGGGACATGGGAAGCTGCTTGTTATCACAGCCATCTGGTGAAAAGAGGGAGGAAGGAGACGCCCCTCACTCGACTGATAGCAATGGAAAAACTGCAGGCGAGGGGAAAGATGATCTATCCACAAGTCTGTCCAAAGCTGTGTGCTACCAGTGATGTCTTAGGGCAGCGAGATAATGCAGGAATAGCAGAATGACCTGCTGACAGCTCTGCTAAGAGAGAAATAATGCAAAAAAGATATGGAGGAGGTGGAAAGCAAATCCCAGGAGAAGCTGAGGAAGGGGATCCATGCAAAGTGCTTGCAGGAGACCTGTGGATATGAAACCTGGAGCTGCTGGAAATTAATACTAATATTACAAAAAAGTAATATACAAAATATACAAAAAGTTAATGAGTGTGCTTTGTCTTTTCACTGCCAGGAAACATTTATCAAAAGGGCTTGATAGATACCATGGTGGCAGAATGTAAATGATGAAAGTATATTTAGTGGTGGGATATAGTTTAGCTTAACACGCTTCACTTGCCTTAATAGCACAGAGGAAACAGAAAAGACTTATGTATGAGAAACTGGGATCAATGATAGAAGAGCTTGTTTTGGACTTCTGCTTTGGGATCTATGAGTAACAGATAATCATACCCCAGTGCTGGCAATGATGCTGTTGGAACCTATTGTCCTACGAAGCAGAATTACTTTGTTTTCATTTTCTCAGCCAGTGAGCACACCTCAAGGCTCTTACCTTCTTCTCTGTACTCCACTGTGTAGCCAGAAATGGTGCAATTGCCTGTACTGGATGGAGGCAACCAGCGAAGGATCACAGAGGTGCAGCTTCTCTCCTGAGCAATGGGGCGATTTGGGGCAGCCGGAACACCTTGGGGGGAGAAAACAAGCAGAGAGTCCAGCATCATGTCAACCAGCCCTAGTGCTTTATCCTGAAAATCAGGTAAACACTGTCTCTGAAGGCCAGGTAACTACCTTGCACTTTTATTGTGGCTGAGGTTGATGCCGTTCCATGCTCGTTAGTTGCCACGCAGGTGTAAATGCCACTGTCCTGAGGCATCACATTGCAAATCTTCAGCATGAGCTCCCCAGAGTCACTGCATATGCAAGAAACCCACGTTACAAATTGCTGCTATGCTTCCTAATGCTTTTTATCCCCGTTTCTCTTCTTCCTCATTACAAGGACACGTGCACGCAGCTCTTGTTAACTCATTTGAAGGAACACCCCCCCAGCCATGTGGTACCAAATGCAACACCTGCATTCATCAGGATTATGTCACTAATGAAATCTTTGAGCAGAATGGTCCCACTGGGGCCAGAAGGGCAAATCTATCTGTTGTGATCTCAGTGGAAATGGGGAAGCAAGCAAAGTGTAAGAGCTGAATATTTTCTAGCTTTCCAGAGCCTGAAACCCCACATCTACAGAAAGGTTTTCGTAGGCACAGCTTTTTGACTTTGGGAGGAGCTGTGTGGTGCCTCTGTAGTATGCCCAACACAAACTGGACAAGTGTCATGCAGGTGTACAAGGCAGCCCTGTGAAACAGGATGCCCAATATTTCTGTGAAGCTTCAGACCCTGAAGCAAGCCATGTCCAGAAGAGTGGACATCTCACAGCAGCTGGGGAAAATAAATGTCAGTGGGACATAATTTCTTGGGAAATGATCAGCCTCTGGGCCGATCTGAGCAAATAAACAGATCTACACAATCTGGTGAGCTTGTAGCAGGTCTGCAGACAGTCAGTTCTTCAACACTCACTTTAAGGGAGTTGGCCTGACTTAAAAGATTTTGCTTGAGTAACTACTCTAGCTGTGCTGGAGACTCAGCTTAGAGCCAGTAATAAATTCTCTTAATGGCAAAACTAGACTGGTTCTTGACTGCGTAAGCCATTGGAAACTGCAAAAGGAAATGGCTGCCGGTGTAACTGCATGGACACCGCGGCCTTGGCTGGCCTGAGTGTGCTGGTTAAGGGACAGAAGAAAAACATCATCTTCCCCCGCAATCCGGACACAGATGCCAGCAAGATTTGTAAGGCAGACGCCAAGCTGCAAGGCCTCTCTTTGGCAGGCAGCGGCTGCATGGAAAAACAAGCAAGAGGAGAGAGAAAGCCAGTGCTGATAGTGCACAGCAAGGGACTGCACAGGCAAGAGACTGATGTAAAACAGAACCTCACACAGAAATATCCTACATCCCAACCCCAGCCAGAGGCCTGAAGATAAGGCACTAGCGATCTACTGAGTGATGGCTAAAAAGACAATTTTAAGTGTCCTGGGGTGCTTCATGAGGCTCAATGAAGGAAGCTCTTGATTAGACATCCTTTTTTCCTTTTATATTCTTCTTCTTTTTTTTTTTTAATGTAAAAAATCTCTCTTAGCATTCATTTTTCACTTTTATGGACTTTGTGCTCCATGGGTTCATCTCAGCCTGAGCCAGCGGTGCTGAAAACCTCACATGAAAGATTGCCTCCTGGAGACTTCCCTTTCCATTTGGCCCAAATAGCTTACATAAGCTGCAGAGAATCATCCAGCAGCAGGCTGTTACCTGACCTGAATTCAACTCAAGAACTTTTCAGTTCGTCCCCCTGTCTGCTGTAAAGCTGGGCCAGGAACATCCAGACAAGCATCCTTCTGTCCAAGCATGGCCAGATGTGGCCTTTCCAGAAGCATATGGAGGCTCTTTGAGGAACAGCTTAGGAAGAGCTCAGGAACACTGCATTAATTACTACCTCAGCCTCTGAGATGAGAAAACTCCCAGCCATGTGGGTACATACCAATGAAGAATGTTGAGAGCTTTCTCTGCTCCATTCCTGTTCCTGTCAAAAGTGAGCATGGCATCAAATTCAACCATCAGAAAAGCAGAGGCAATGTTAGCCAATATACTGAAAATATTAATTGCTTCTGACTTGCAACAGGCTCAGAGGTCTTGGCCTCCTGGGACACAGCATAACAGAAAGCTCAGCTCTGCCAACACTGCACTTGGTGGAGATGCCCTGCATCAGCTTGGAAAACTACAGAGCTACCTGAACTCACATTTGACCCTTTCTAGCTGATGTGTAACTCAGTGATGTGGCAACACACCATGTCAGCCTCAATTAATTGCATCTCTAATAAGCTATGTCTCCTGGCTAGTGACATATTTGAGGGCAGCATGACCATCATTTGATGGAATCCAGAGGCAGGACCTTACCAGGATGACACCGTGTATGTGGCTGTGCTGTTATCATCGTCAAGAATGTTTTGATCTGGTCCTTTCCAGGTTATCGTTGGTTTGGGCCGGCCGCAGACTTTGCACTGCAGCATCACAGTGTCACCAAGCAGGCAGGTGATATCCACCAACGGCACAAGGAACTCTGGAGCCACTGAAGAAGAACACGGGGGAACACCTTTTAACGTACAGGAGAGGATGTTCTCCACATAACTGTGAAAAATGCATTATAGGACCAACTATGGGAGCTTTTGGTAGGAGAGTGATAGGTAAGGGTTAAGTGTTGTAGGTCTGAGCATCCTGGAATTGTTACCAAAACTCTACCTTCAGGGAGGGAGGCAACAGGGACAGGCTGTGCTGGCTCTAAGTTCTGAAAAGACCACAAAGATGGGTGCAAGTGTGTGTATTGGAGGGGCAGGTTTGGGACAGTGCATCATTTCAGACTCTCTGAGCCCATCAGCAAGCAGGGACCACTTCCCCTGCCCACTGATGGAGAGCTGTCTTTGCTGTGACTGCTGATGTGGGGGAAGCATGAGGCTCCCTGGTAATAGATCCCAGCTGCTGGCTCAACCCTTCAGGCAAGTCAGTGCACAGCTGTCTTTAACTCACCTTCTTGAATGAAATTGGGGTTGATTATCTGAAAAATACAAAGAAATAGTACATATAAAGAAATCATTGTTTTTCTGGACCATTACAAAGAGACACTTTGTTTCATTAGGAAACATGGTGAGGCTGACCAGAACTGCAGACACACTGACCCGTGGGTATGAACAGTCTCTAACAACTGGCAAACACAGCAAGCTCTGGTGACAACTGAGCAAGCCAGTGCACGGTTGGATAAGAAAACAAAAGCCACAGTTTTTGTAAGACTGTAATGCATACTTTGTGTCAGCTGCATCACAGGTAGCAGGCACAGCAGTAGGGAGGTGGATCGTGCCTTCTCTCTGCTTAGGTGATGCTCAAGCCATTGACTGTTATCTACCTGGATGTGGTTTGTGCCCCGTGTGCCCAGCTCCAGACCCACCTGCAGCACCATGCACCTGGGCACCTCACCTGCGTGTTGGCCACTAACCAGCTCTGGGGAGCTCCTGCTCAGCTTCAGGGGGAAAAAAAAAGGTAAAGGGCTAAAACAAAAATACAAGCCTCTTTTCATATCAGTTCTGTAACATCCCATGGCTTATCGTGAGTTAAACATCACTTGCGTCAAAGGGCTGATGGAAACTTTCTAATTGGTATTTAGGATTGGATGACTCAGAGTTATTTTGTCTAACTAGTTAATTGATCAAATTAGCAAATAATTGAAAAGCCAGCATCTCACCATGGACTATATACATCAATTACATCATGCTAATCCTGGAAGAAAAGGTGGGGATAATAAAGACAACAGCATTAAGTTCTCACATGCAACTCTACTCTCTACTCTCAAATCTAACCATATAAAGGTGTACCGTAGTTTAAGTTTTAGCTTAGTTCTAGCCTCATTAGCAGGTATAAATATCAAGCAGCATAAACACCACTGTGGTTTATCTCGCCTCAAATTTCTTCGTTCCCATCTATTTCGGAGCAGGTTTGGAAGTTGTCAATAAAGCAGTGACCTAATTCATGGTTTGCTAAAGCTGATGGGAGTTATTGCAGTGGGCCAGAAAAGAGGCCACAAAGCAGAAGCAGCAAGCCTTCAAACATGCAGATGCATTTTCAAGATGCATGTTTATTTTGGGGAGTTAAAAATAATTTTCCAAGGTGAATGGCTTGGAGTGACATAAAGGAGGTACTGGAGCACATTCAGATCTGTTTCAGCATCACAGCCCTTCTTCATAGCTCTAGGGTAACCTCTGGTACCAGCACAGAGACCTCAAGCTCCATTTACTCCATCAATATCAGAGTAGTAGGGCACAACATGGACTCATTGCTCACACAGAGGCATTATTTTCCATGGAAACATACTTTCCATTGAGCACTGAGATTTCAAACATTCACTCCCAGCATCGTGGAAGGCACCCCCCCCTCCCCCCCTTTTGCATCCCTAGAGAGGACTTTGAGAACTGTTTCTATAGTTCTCATACAACCAGCACACTGATGGCCTCCTGTGTGCCACCTATCACTCCTGCTGTGAGTCCTTCTCCTGCAACTGTTGCTCAGTGGGGACCAGGATCCCATGGGCAAGAGGAAAACACAGTGTAAGATGGCACTGGATGAAGAAAAATATCTTTCCACCTGTGGGGAGGGAAAGAGGAGACAGCACTCCTGATTAAGTTACAGCATTCACATGGCACTACAAAGGAAGAAAAAGCATTTGCTCTGGATGGAGATATCCATCTAAAAACCATCACTTGCCACTTGTCCCTAAATGAGACCTTCAATTTATCAGATTAGTAGCCTGAAGCATCAGCTCATTTGCACATAAATCTTCATTTCTGGAATACACATACATATCCTGCAGCTCTGTCCTGCCTCGCCTGCAGCATGCATTAAATTCCCTTATTATTCACTGAATTCTGTCCTGGCAGGATTAGAGACTGGGAGAAATAAACACTCTTAAAACTTTGCATTAATTTCATAGCTTTAAAGTAACCATTAGAAGATACAGCTACAGTGATATATAAATTAGACATATCTATAAATATATAATGCTACATTTTAAATAATTTTCAAGGCACAATTGTTTATAATAATTGACTTACCAATGTGTTTTTTTTTTTTTCCTATTGCCTTAACAATGGAATATCATAGAAGAAAAATTACTACTCTTAGATGACACTGGAAGAGTCTTGGAGTAATATTTAGATTTCCTTTGATAAAACTTCAGCTGTTAATTGATAAAATGCTGCCTAACAACACCCCTCAGCCATATCTCAGCTTTCACCTCCTGTAAGCTTAGATAAAATTAAAGCCTTTAGGCAAGAGGATGCCAAATGCCTCCAAAATGATCGAATGCATCACTTATTTTTTCCCCACTTTTCCTGATCTGTAAGGCTGGGCTGCCAACCGAACCCTTCATAACAAGATCCATGCTTCAGCTAAACAGCAGAGGGCATGTTTACTCCAAGGCAAGCAGCTCAGCATTTTGTAAACACTCCATGGCACTTCTTGCATGCTGAGTTAAAATAAAATATTGACTCATTTACCCGTGCTTTTAGCAGTCAGCAGCATACACCACTCTCCTTCTCTTAAAATAAAAAACAACACAAAACTAACAAATTAAGGACTCTCAGAAAAAATAATAGTGGCATGAGCTATAGGAGAATTAAACCAACTGCAATTTGTACGAAAGTCTCTCCCTGACTTGGTCAACTTTTACTGTGGGGATTTTGAAGGAACACAAGCTTCCTCTCCATAAAAAAAAATTCACAAGAGAATTTTCTTGACAAGGAGAGCAAATAAGGATCATCCCACATGTGGGTAGGAGCCACCAAAGGGAAAAGTAAGTTAAAATGAGAATGATATCTGATGAAGTGGTTTAAGAAATGAATGGCATCTGGCCTTTCAGCCCCTTTGGAGGGGAGCCATCCATCAGCACAGATGGGCTCAGCTGACTTTGAGACTGACATGAGAGATGTTGACCATGTCACACAGAATCATAGGTTTGAGTTGGAAAGGATCTTTGAAGATCATCTGCTGCAGCTCCCTGCAATGAACAGGAGAACTGCGTCAAAGGTCTTACTGAAGCCCAGACAGATGACATCAAGTGACTCTTTCCTTGTCCACTGATGCAGTTACGCCACCATAGAAAGTTGCTAGATTGGTCAGGCAGCATTTGCCCATGGTGAAGCTCATGCCGGTTATTCTGTATCACCTCTCTCTCTTTCATGTGCCTTAGCATAGCTTCCAGGAGGACCTGCTCCATGGTCTTCCTTGGCACAGAAGCTAACAGGCTGGTAGTTTCCCGGGTCAGCCTTTCCACCTCTCTTAAAAATGAGTGTGGCATTGCCTTTTTACTGGCCACCAAGGACTCCACCTGAATGCCATGTCTTTTCAAATATCGTTGAGAGTGGAACATGCATCCATCTTCTTCCCCATGACAGGCTCCTGTTGTGGAGCTGCTAGCTGTGGGGTGTCTCTGGTTTTGAAGGCTACTGTGTGTCCCAGGCACTAAGTTATGCAGCACTCTACCATCTACCTGCAGATGAAGCACATCAGTACTTCCTCTTTCAAAAGCTGAACTGCAGTAGCAGTGCTGCCAGCAGACTTGCACCTAATGAGCCACCTGCCCTCTGTCTCAGCATCCCTGCCCTGTAAGGGCAGCAGGACAGTAGCACGGCTGCTTTGAGCAAAAAGAGAGAGCTTTATGGGACCTGCACAGGTGGCTTGTGACCTCCCCCAACAATATCGAAACCCCACAGGGCGTTACGACACAGAGCTGTGCGACATTCACGTCAGTGTCCAGGACCCCAGCCATGGGTGTGGAGCTGTAGGCTGATTCACAGGGGCACGCACCTTCTTTCACAAGAGGAACTGCCTGTTCCTGGACAATTAGCTTATAGACACGCAAAGGAACTGTCTGATCTGCTTTAAATATAGGTTACTCCTATCCCTCACATGGCTACAGCTACTCTGTGAATGTCTGCTCCTACACTCCACGTGCCCAACAGGCCTGCTTGCACCTTCTGTTTTCTGAAACAATAGGAACTATATTTCATTTCCACTCATATTTGTTTTCATTGCATATTGATAAACTCGGAGAACAGAAGCAGCCAACAAGAGATACAGTTCCTATTCCAAATTACAATGAATGGAAAGTTCTCCAGGGCCAGCATGTCCCCATGTAGGCAAAAATACAGCAACAGCATTTTAGGGCTTTGAAAACAGCCACTCAGTTCCAGCTTCCTGCTCTCACCGTGTGTGTTCTCCACATTTCTTTCTGTATTTCCCCGTCAAACAAAACAAAGTGCTTTAATAACCTGGAATCTACTGAACAGATATGTTTTACAAAGAGCAAGCAAAGGTGGAAGTGAAAGGGACTTCATAGATATGACTAGCTTTCTTGCTTCTCACACAGGGAATAGGCTGGAGGTAAAATGTACTGATATTTCTAAGTAATTAATATGGCTGCTTTGTATTCAGAGGTAAGTCTCTTTATTCTAGCATCAGGTGCGTGTTTTCATGTATGACAGGAAGACATCAGCATGTCATGGGTGATAGGCTATAAAGGAGGCCAGGTGACCCACCCAAAGCTGAAGTAATAGTGACCAACACCTTCATGACCTGGGCAGGGCTGCGTGCACCTCTGAACGGCAGTGGTTGGGCCAGGACAGAGCTCTGCATCAGCATTCCCACAGCCCATAGAAATGTCACAAGGCAAGCCAGGTGTGGAGTATGGAGAGCTGACTGTATGCAAACTGCTTGAGGCCACAGTTACCCTCTACTGATAATTTTAACACATCTGAGCTTTTCCTCCTATTCAGCAAAGTCAAAACACAGAAACCCTCTGCAAAAGGAACAGTGATCCTCACCCAGCTCTGTGTATCACCTCTCTACCTATCTTAGCTGATTTTTTTTTGCTTCACAGAGCAATTTCCAACAACCTAAAGCTTACACAGGTTCATGCACAGTAAATGTACTCTGCCTCGTAACAAATAACGTATGCTTCCAGTTGTTACCTGTGATTGGCGAAACGCTATTTGAAAGGACAAAGATACTCCTGAGAATAATGCAGCATTAGTGGTAAGCACCATTCAGCCTCAAGCATGTTAGCTGGGTCAAAGGCTTTCTGTTAGTAAACATCCCCTTTGCAAAGATGTATTTATTGACAAAAACACAATTAAAATAGAAGAGAGACTTCAGGTTAAAAGTTTAAGTGGTGCATCCCAAAACACTTTTCTATTCCTCCTCCAGGAAGAAGATCAGCTTTCTTCTGAGGGATGTTTGTTGTACAATATGGCTAAGAGCATCCTGCAGATGTGATATCCCTGTTTGCCAATGACTTGCCCTACTATCTCTACAAAATCACAAAGGTCTCATGGAACCTTCTCCTCGCCTTTAAGCCTTGGTACAATGTACACAAGTGCTTAGTGTGGTCACTGTATAAAGAAAAATGGGCTCTGCAATATTCTGATTGAGAAGAACCAGTTCTCATGACTTAAACCTCCTTCTGGCTCTCAATAAGGTGTGTTTCAGTCACTCCAGTAGAATCAATGGCTTCATGCTGGAAAAAATAGTGTAATGCACCACAAACTGGGTCACCATAGCTGCATTAATCTTGTCTATAATGCAAGCATATTAAAGCAACTAATTTTACCAAACCCTTTCAGTATCTTTAAAGAAATGCAGTTTCCCATTATTTATTGACATCATCTACTAGGAGAAAAAAAAAAAAAAAACTTAGTCACTTCTGATCTAGACGATTTAAAGCACCTGCTGTGGTGCAACATGTGCTCCAGTAATTCACAATGTGGGTCTGACTAGCAGCTCAGCACGTGCTGTCAAGACAGCAAGTGTTTTTAATACAGAAAGCTACTACATTTCTTGGTAGTCGATGTGCAAGCACCATCATTGCATTGGACAAGATCTTAGATGGGAAGAGGTGACTCAGCAAGAACTTGTTCCTCAACTTCCTCCATTGCTGCTATCACAAAGGCAGCCCAAACTCCAGCTCACCATCTGGTAAAACCAGAACTGGTGCTCTGTGCGACTCATATTTAATTGGCAGGTATGATCGTGAGAGACGCAGACCCACCAGCTCCCCTTTCAGCAAAGGTATTTCAAAACAGGCACATGTCAATGGAAATAATAATGACAAGGATGATTGTCTCTACCTCCATGCTAGTATTGGGGTCAAGGTCATCACACTCTGATTCCTCTGAGCTGTTTGTCTCCTTGTTTGGCAGCATGAAGAGGAAGAAAAAGAACAAGAGATTAGTGGAGAGATTGGTTAGACAGGGCAAGCAGCACAGGAGCTGTGAGCATGGAAATGGGTAACAGGAAAGAAAACATTCCAAAGAAAAAACCCAACTCCAAACAAAACAAGGGAAGAAAAGGCAAAGACGTGCTTTGGCAAAGAAGAGGCAGTGATGCTGCAGGTTGTTCTGGCAGCACAGTAGCAGGGAAGCAGCAGCAGAAGCACTGTGACCACCATGCAGCAGCTACTGCTGCCCTGAGGCCGGCCCTGGGTGCAAGGGGCAGGTGGCCTGTAGTGGCCTTTGCACATGCTATCTCTGTTTTACTAGGCAGACGTGATGGAAAGCCTCCAGAAAGGAAAACACTTAATCGTGGGCTCTCCTGGAAGGGGGTGGATTCATAGTACATGCTCAAGTGCTTTCCAGAATCTTTGGTTGTGTCAGAACCACAAGCGTTTGCTTGCCTCTGTTGGGACGGATCCTCTGAGTTGAAGCACAGTAGTCAGGTACCCAGAGCAGAAGATGGAGCTTAACCCCACCGTTCTCAACCTTTTCCCTACTGGGAGATCTCAGAGAGAGAGAGAGAGACAGACACGGACACACACGCACACACAGACAAAACCCTCTCCTGGAAAGACCGAGTCAGCATCTCTTTCCTGTCTGATAATATGGAAGTAAAAAGGTCACTGAGACCATCTCCCCTGAGCAAACATCTTAAGCATCTCAAGGTTGAGAATCCCTTATTGCAACCTGCGGGGAAATTTTAGCCTAAGGAAAACTTGTCAGTGTCAATAAGGCCATCATTTCACCCGGTGGCTTTCTAACTGCTGCAGTTGCTTTGATGCACCTGCAGATTGGGACAGATCAGAGGTAGATCAGACACTGTTTTCTCAATGTTAAGAGCAGTTATTTAACTTCATAAATGGCTTTTTGTTTATTTGTTTAATGAAGATTACTTACTTGCATGAGGGATGCCAAGAAAAAGAAAATGAAAAACAAAGGTTGCATTTTATCTTGCATGCAAAAATCCTGCTAAAACAAATACTAAAAAACAAAACAAAACAAAAAAAAAAAAAAAAAAACAACCAAAACCAAAAGGAAAAAAAGATAACTGAAGTGGGGAAAAAAAAACAAACCCCAAGTTGCCGCTCCCTCCCTCTCTCAGGAGAGGATGCTATAGGGGGTGAAAATGATGGGAAGCAGGAGAGCGGCACACAGCTTTCAGATGGCCTTACTCACTTTAACAGAGACTTTGTTCCCCAGAATATCCTTGGATTTACGTGGCCCATTGGCTTCATTTTTGCCACTGCTCTCCTTTTCCGCCCGCTTTCTCATGCGCAGGGTATGCCATGAACATGACTTCCTGTTGTACCAAAAAACGCAGCAATCAAATGGCAATTCATTGTAGGAAGGAAGGATTTGGAAAGGGAAACCAGCATCCATGTTTGCGATTACTGCAATTCCCTAGAAGGTGAAAGCCACCAGCAATATGCCTATCTCTACTTTAGCAATGAGAGTTGAAGTTAAAAAACAAACCAAACAGTTCTGCAAAGCAGATGTTGTGCCACACTTGCTGTTTAGATGCATGGGCCAGGAAAAAAAAATACCATGATGGAAGCAGGCAACTAGAATTTGGTCACGTGGTTTCAAGATTTTGTCTTGCATTGCCACAAACAGAATTTTTTTATTTTTGCTACAGGTTAAAGGTCAATTTAGACCTCAGTCTTGTTGGTTAAAGCTGTCAAATGAATGCAAATAAATGAGAACTGTTTTAATAGATCACATAGTAGAGCAAATTAAAACTTTTAAGAAATTCAAGGTATCTTTCTCTACATGTTTCTCAGAACATGAACAGCCCAAAAGATAGGAGCTACATCATTAACTTTCCAAGAGATAAGTCATTCCCTAGAATGACAAGCTCTGCTATGTCTCTCAAGACCAAGAATTTCCCATTAGTATAATAATTGATTTTGCCAGTTTGGAGAGGGAGGATGTCAATCAGTCCATGCTTTTTGACAAGCACCACAGCAGGTATGATTTGCAGTACATGTTTCATCCCTCATTACTGCACCTACAACCTTACTCTTGGAAAAAAAGAAAAAAGACCATGTCACCCTTTGTAAGAGCAATGCTGTGTTGACGACAGAAATTGCATGTCAAAGCAGACACAAAAAAAAAAAAAAAAAAAAGGAAAAAAAAAACCCAAAACACTTCTCAATATGAATTCCATTTGGTTTAAATAGTGAGCAGGTTGGGGAGGATTTGGGAAGGGTTATGTTGTCCAAAGCAGAAAGCTCTCAAAACAGCAGTGTGATGAGCTGGGATCCAGGTTCAAAGCATCTGCCCACCTTTAAGTCATGCAAATTTGATTTGCATGTTTTAAGCCCAATGTTTGGCACATGTCATTTCTACAGTACCTTGATACATTTTACAAAGCAAGTTGCATGTAATCCAACGACCACCTGCGATGCCAATAAAATGCAGTATGTTAGCAAGGTAGGACTCAAAGGATGCCCCACACAGCTGATGTACCCCCAAGAACTCTGTGGCCATTTCATAAGCTTATTTTTGTTGTTTTCCAGCACCTGGTTGACACTGTGCAATAGCTCATTTTTAAGAAAGTAAAATTAATGTTCTCCCAACAACTGGCTGCACTGACACAAGACTAAAATGGTTCGTACTGTGTTTGTGTGTTGTTAACAGCTGACATAGGCAGTTGTGTTTTGGCACAAGAAGCACCAACATGTCCTGCACATCCCAGCCAGTAGGGGCTGCCTGGTATTTGGGCATTTCTGGAGGAGGTCCAAATTAGGTGCGCAGATCAGGGGAAGTTATCCAACACATTGAGACTATTATATTGTCCTTCAGGATACAGTTGAGTCAAGAGTGATCAAAGTCCTGGCTGATGTACTTCCTGACCTTCACCTGTCATGATGCCAGCACTACTGCATCTACCACATATTTTGTGTACAGTATCTGTCAACAGAAGAAACAGTTTTATTACTTATACTAATAAGTCCACGTAATGTGGCAGACTAGATGGGGCTAAGATAACACCTGCTCCAGGTGATTTTTTACCCATATGGCTTATAGTAGAAAGTCAGTCAAGCATCTTTTTGTTTCAGGGTTGTTTTAGTTCTTTGAATCTGCAAACATGATTTTAAGTGTCTTTAAATGTCACTGCAGTAAGAAAGAGAGAAGTGCAATGCATGTGCCTTTCAATTCTGGCAAGCCTTCCTGGCCCCAATACAGAATTTGACAGTACAGCTGGAAAAAAAGTCTTCACCAGGAACCTGGTGCTGGGGATGAATGTAAAGGCACATGTTTGCAGAGCCTGGTTGTAGGAGGAACTCAGGAATAGCTGCGGCACACATGCAAGAGACGTGCTAAGCAATTCCTCTGGCTTAGTGTGCCATTCATAGTAGCATTCAGTTGTATGCCTGAGATCACTGACTCATGGGTCGAGTCACTGTTTTTTCTTGGCCAAAATATCAGCAGATTTCAAATTATTATTTTTAATGAAACTGCCACAAAATCTTCCTTCATATTCAATTCTGTGCTTCAAGGCACTCGTGGAAGACAACAGAATTTGCAGCACACATCATGCATTACCATGTAGTTGTTCTAGTTGTGAAAAGAAATCAGTCAGTATTACTTGAAAAGAGGGTTGTACCTTCAGTATTTAATACCAAAAAACCACTTTCTTGCATTTCAGCTGACAAATTTCTAAAAATCAAGAAAGAAAAATATATATCCACACATCTGTTAAATAAGCAACAAAAAGTTATAAACAAAACAAAATAACAACAACAAAAAGTCAAATAAAACCAAAACAAAAAAGGGTCAAACTAGTTCTTTTACCTCATTAAAACATGCTCATGGTGAAGATTTATTTTACATATTTAAAATAGTACATTTAAAATTAGTTACATGACAGGTACAATGATGAACATTGCGACTATCCATTATATTGCACAACCTGACTTCATCAGTATGAGTTTGTTTCTTTCTTCTTTTTTTTTTTTTTTTTTAAATAGTGCAAAATACTTTATACAGGAATGTATTTGTATGGGGGTCTTGCAAACCAAAAAATATTTTACAAAAGAAACTGCGAACAGAAAAAAAAGAACAAACCAACCAAACGAAAAAAAAGATACAAGCTGTACAAGAAAATTGCCATAGACAACAAAATTTCTCCTCTTAGAGAAGCGAATCTCAGTCCAACACAGGGCCTGATTATTTTTTGCCAGATACTGTTATAACCCATATATAGATTAGTAACTTAATACAACATAAATATAAGTCCAGTCCAAGCAGGTCCATGTTGGTGTAAAATGGTGTAACACAAAATACGTCTTTAACCAATTGTGGTTTTATTTCTCTCCAAAGGATAAACAAAACCCCACATAACGTAAATAAGCAGAACCCAAGCTATCCACCATGGCCGCCCGACGCTGCAGATTGACCACTCAGCTTGCTCCAATGGCACTGTAGATAAAAATCAGCAGGAACTCCCTACCATTTGGATTTATTTTTATTTTTATTTTTTTTCCTCAAAAACATCCACACAGTGCTCCCAGCGAAGTCAACATGGCACTTACTTGATGCTTCCGTCGTTATTATCTGCAGTGGATTTAGTGAGGGGAGCCAAGATATTGCCAGGGATCCATCCTTCAGCAGCTGGAGAGTGGTCGTTTGCAGGCTGGTACACCAGGAACATGTTCTGCTGGTTGATAGCAAGGATCTGAACCACCTCTCCTTGATTCACACAGATCTCGTCCTCCTTCAGTGCATAGTAATCTTTAATCACCACCATGGAAGAGGTCCCATTGCACCCTCCCAAATCAGTCTGTGAAAACGGATACAACAGAAACGTGGTGAGAAGGTGGCAGAGAGGAACCTGACTTTTCTGGCAGCAATCACGGCACTTCATTCCGAGCCTAACTGCACCAGGGAAGAAGATACAAATCATCTGATAGTGTTCAGGTTAGATACTAAAGAAAATTTCTTCTGAGAAGGAGTGGTGATGCAGTGGCACAGGCTGCCCAGGGAGGTGGTGAGTCACCATCCCTGGAGGTGTTCAAGAACCATGGAGATGAGGCAGTGAAGAACATGGTTAGTGGGCATGGTTGGGATGGGTTGACGGTTGGATTTGGTGACTTTAGTGGTCTTTTCAAACTTAGTGATTCTATGATTCTACAGTAATTTGTATGGATAGAGAAAGATTTTAAGGATTAGCATGAATCTGACAGAAACCAGCTTCCTGCTTCCTATTAGATTTCGTAGCTATTCTAGCAGTACAGTACCAAGCTGTGTTCTGGTATCATGGGCGAACTACCTGCACAGAACCAAATGTGGGGGGAAAAACCCATGAAGCCAAAATAATACACACTTCATATTCTTGAATATAATTTTTACTGGAAGGTGGCTTTGGTCAATATCAGCCAACAGCTCTGTCTAAACACTGGTTTAGACTTTTAGACTTTAAACTCTTTGGTGGCTTCCGTCAATTGTGTCCAGAGTAGGGCACACACATCTGAATCACAACCTTTATCTGGCACTCTGTGATCTGAACTATTTAAACCATCAGAGTAGACCTCTTCAGGAATGGGTGGTTAATGGATATTAGGGAAGCCTGGATATTACTGTTGCCAGTATTGCAAATGGAAATTCAGTTTAGCAGGTCTGCAAATACAGTGCTGTGAAAAACTCTTGGGTTTGGCTATCCAGGGACAGGCCCTGTCTCAGCTTTCCAGCTGAAGAGCCAACTGCCTGAACACCAGAACTTCCACAGTCTGCATTCAATTTCAAACCACATTTCATATCATTGCTTCAGTCTGTTGATTGCTGTTGACCTGCTTGGCTGACAATTAGAGCTAACTTCACAGATAGCCTATGGTATGAGAAGCGGGCGATGAGATCATGTTTTATCAGATGAGTTCAGTACCTTGCTTTGTTCATACTTGTCTCCGGGCTGTTCATACCCTGTACTGCCATTGGAGGTAGATATCTTCAGGGGTGGGAGAGATGGGTTACGGCTTGTAGCCTTCAAAGGCTTCTCAGACCCTACTGGAACAGAAGAATAGGGTCTGCTGTTGGGCTGAGCGACCCTACCGGCCTGGGGCCTCAGCACTGCTGTGCTACTTTCTTTGCGTTGGTACTCTATGGGAGACTGCAGTGCTGCAAAAGAAGACAAGAATTGCTATACATTTCCAGTGACATTGCAAAGGGATATAGAGAGCACATGGGGTGACTCAATCAGAACAGACACAGTAGTTGCAAAACAAACAGGCACATAAAATGCCACCCATGGAAGCACAGGGCGTATTCATGGCCAGACAGGATGCAAACGTGTTGTGCTATACTGTGCGTGAACTGAAGAGTGCACTAAAATAGTTGCCATTTACAGCATACATAGCTGCGTTCATTGTCTTTGAAACCGCACAAACGAAACACCATAAAAATAATCCTGTAACAAAAATGGAAGTCTGAATAGGAGACTCACAGCTTATTTACAGTGATTTTTGTTTATCATCAGGAAATACGGATCAAGACCCATAAGTCTCATCTGTATATTCCCATGAGAGCTTGACTACTAAATTCTCTTCAAATACGATGCGCTGGAACTTGTCTCCCTATGGATTTTCTATATTAACTGATCAACAAGTGAGGAAATATAGATGGTACAATGATATTAATCCCAGAAGCCCAAAGCAACATCAAACAGCTTCACAAGCCTTACAAAAGACTCTGCTTGTGAGAGTATCTTTTGTAGTCTGAGATAGAGTTCACACTGGGAAAAGAAGGATAAAAATGCCAGATGGTGAAAAAATAAAGAATGTGATAAGTTTGGAGGAGAAGGGGCAAGGCTAGGACTTATGTGGAATGGGAAAGAGACAGATTTACTAGGCTCAGACTCCCATCCCCAGACCTATGGGTTTGCTTTCTACAAGTCATGTGGCTTCAGTGGCTGATTTATAGGCAGTTAATACTGTCTGTGTACATGCACCAGACTAAACCTACTGGAATGCAGAGAAACTCGTCTAGCAAAGGCAGACAGGAGGACACAGTGTCACAGCATCAGCCCAGCCAGGGAACCACAACAGAAAGAATGTCTTTCCCAACAAGAGGAAAAGGAAAGACAAACAGAAAGGCTCAGCACCACACAATATGCTCCCCTTCCAGAGAAAGGCAGGGTTCGTCCAACAAGAAACCACTTAATACTAGAGAACAAAAGACTAAAACAAGTCAAGGAGGACAGATTGCTTTTTTCCTCAAAAGGACAGACGTTTTAACAGAGACCTGTGGCAATCTGAAGGACTGCTGGCTCAAAAGCCCAAGCAGTGACTCAAGTTTATGCCACAGATATAACCCATTTCACTTGCTTACCTCAGCTGCCACAGAAAATGCTTTGGTCCTGCTGCAGACCAGCCACCAAGGAGGAGGAAGGTTAGGGAGATGTTTGGCAGTGATTTCAACAATGACGTTTCACTAGAATATGCAGCAGATTAGGCTGCAAGGTCTTTAGCAATAAGACCTGAAGGAGAATGTCTCTATCTTGAAACAACTGATGCTATCCATTGCTTTTAAAGGACACTTGGTTGAGTGTCCACTTGCGGCTACTAATTCGTTAGCTAAGAGAGGGGTTCCTGGATTCCCACCTCCTGTTCAACATGCTAGTACTCTCACAGGCTCCTGGCAAAAACCAATGTCCATGTACTTGCTCTCACAGGAAAAACTCATAAAGCATGATAAAAAAAAGTCACAGATCAATGGCATTTTTTATATGAAGTACATCCATCGGTGACATACTTTCTTTACACTTTACTCTTTACAGCTTGCTTCTTAAACGCTAAAGGAGAGAACATTCACTATAGCCAATCATTTTGTGCAGTCTGTTTCTTAAGCTTAGCAGCTTTTCTTATCCCAAAGAAAAATATGGAAAGCTTGAATATTACAGTGTAATTGCACCACATTTCACATGTATGAACTGAGTAAGCAGATACGGTGCTTTGCACATAGTTCCTTATTTGTTAGGGCTTTCCTACACAAATCAGAAAAATCAGGTACAGCTTGATCAAGAACACACAGGGAATATATTGTTATTTAGTTTATGCAGCATCGGCTCAGTGTTAGTTTAATATGATTTTGAAGACAGAAAACATCCACTTTAATGAAATGGAAAGCTAAAGAACGTATTTAAAGATTAGTCAGCTTCACAGAGATTACATCCTAAAAGCCACTTAAATTGTTCTAGACTGGACAAGCTTGACTGGATACAATACCATTTTCTTGGATCTTATTTACAGGTTTAAAGCAAATCCTTCAGCTTGTGTTTTAATATAAATCTACTTTTACTTCTAGCTTTAGAGATACTGAAGATTACCTTCCTAACCCATCAAATACCATGCTGGAAGACAGGCTACACAGGGGCTGCAAAGATACTACAGTAGAAAAACTTTCGAGAAGTAAAACTGTGTTAAATTGAAATTAGAAAACCAAAACCAAAAGCTATAAGAACTCCACACTGAAGAAAAGAGAAGCTTTGTTTGGATGTGAATTGAAAGAAATTCTTCAGATTTTGCAACAAAAAAACCCACAAAATAGAACACCCCAAATCAAAAACGTGAACACACTGTGCCAAGCCAAAACATTTTGATTCAAGCTAGCAAGTTTCACTATAGCAATTATTTATTAAAGTTTTTTAAATATAAAATGCTTTTTTAATGTAAGCTCAATTAAAAAAAAAACAACACGTTGTGACATGAATACTACAAAATAATTTTGGAGGCTTCCAAAGAAATGCTCCCGCTTTGTTGCTTCCAACAACAGACAAAAAGAGATACCATTTTTATTTTTTCCCTCCAGTCCTGGTTCCTTATTAATTGAATTTGATTCCTCTGATCATTTTTGCTGATCGTGTGTGTGCTGTTTTTTTTTGTTTTTAATAAAAACAGATTAAATTTGAAACGCAATTTCAAACCACCCCAAACATCTTCCTAAAGCAAAGCTGACATTTTCAACAGGCCCTTGTTGATGCACAGCTCCTGGGGTTACCAGGAGACCTCTGCACAGTGTCACTGAGCTGGTCCCTTTTCAAAGACCAGCTGACGCCTTATGAGGCCTCTTTCACATGTACTCTGTGGATAGCACTTCACCCAGCTCTTAATGACAGGCAGGCTGGGCTCTCCTTTTCTCCATGGGATTTTCCATGTAAACAAGAAGTTGCTGAATGCTTTTTGCCCAAAGTGACCAAAGATGCAAAGATTTTGATTCCCACTTAGTGTCACTGTTAGGGAAAAAGTGCAAAGCCCATATACATACCATTTAGGAAATCCCTTTGTGTGTCCAGGACCTGGTTGATGTCCTGTACCCAAGCCTGTTGAATTTCTGGATTAGCTGCCTGTAAAATGACTCTCTCAGACGTTTCCCGGCTCATTAGAGCAAACCTGCAGGGATCATTGTCCACGTTTTCTTCAATGACAAGGTAGTTCATCTGAAACAAGCCAAAGGAAGCATGTGTTACACGGAGCATGACTTAGCATTACTCAAGAATCAGAACAGAATTATTTGTGTGAAAAGTTCCTGAAAATAACTGAGTCCAATAACAGACTGTCAGAGCATAATCAGAAGAACTTGCCTCATCTAGATTTAGGGAGGTAAAGTTAATAAAGCTTTGACAGATATACCAGACATCCATCTGCCTTGCTCTAAATTACAATTTCTATTTTAAGGTAACATAGACTTGATTGATGAGCTAAAAATTTACTATAACCCATAAATAGAGTTAAACTATTCTTATTAAGATGTTAATAAGGTCTATCATTCCTTCAATTTAAGTGAGTGTTTACATTCTTTATCCTTCATGGAAAGAAATTACCTGTCTAGTGACAGAAAATTAACATCTTAAATGGAATGGACACTATACAAGGATATTAAATCAGATTAAACCAGAGGGAATGGTTTCAAGATATGGCAGGGGAGATTCAGGCTGGACATTAGGAAGTATTACTTTTCAGAAAGGGTGGTCAGGCACTGGAATGGACTGCCCAGGGAGGTGGTGGAGTCACCGACCCCGGGGGTGTTCAAGGAAAGGCTGGATGTTGTGTTGAGGGACATGGTTTAGTGGGAGCTATTGGGAATAGGTGAACGGTTGGACTGGGTGATCTTTTAGGTCTTTTCCAACCTTGGTGATTCTATGATTCTAAATTAAAAAAAAAGAACACTGAAGCTGCAATAGATCTTATTTCTAGTGGAAGGCACTGTCATCCGCATGTGTTTGTTTGACTTGACCACAGTCACAGATTCTCTTCCTAGAAATCTCATGGATGGGAATTTCATCTGTAGGATAACATGTCCTTTTGTGCAAGTGCACCCATAACTTTGACTTCTCCTGGATAACTCATGTCTGCAACAGTAAACAAGAACAGGCTGGCATAGCTCTTCTGCTCAAGTGGACAATTCAGGATTGACGTAAGAAGCTTGACAAGGATGTTAGTTTACAAGATGTTGTAAAAAAGAAAAAAAAAGTTTTGTCAAAGATAGATGGCTCTGAAGGCTGTGGTCAGAACATCCGTCTAGAAGAGGTCCATCTCCTGTTGCTGTATCTGTCAAGGTATAGAGAGGTCTACTCCACATCTGAATGCTGTCCAGCATTTAATCTGTGAGATGGAAGGAGCCTCTTCCCTCCCTTCTGTGGTTCCCTGTGGAGTTTATGAGCAGGCAGGAACTGTTTTGACAGGGAGACAAGGGAAGGGGTGGACCAGGAGCTTGGAAAGTGTTCTCCTTCTTGTTCTGAGCTGCTGCTCCTCTGGCTGATAACCAAAGCAAGCAAGTCAATCCTATACGACTCCAAGAAAAGAACTCGCAGGTCAAAGTCCTAAGACTACTGTTGGTGTCTCAGGCAGATGCATTTGCCAAGGCTGCCCATTTAAGTATTTTGAGAGCTTGACCAGCATCCGACTGAGCAGTGTCCAAGAAGGGATGTGCTATTTCTGAAAGCCAACTACACCTCACTGCATAAAGAAAGATTCTTCTCTAATGTAGGACACCATAAAGAAGCTTCTGTCACTATCCAAGTGTGACAGACCTTGGACAGAAGAAAGAAATGGGACCTCTGGTGCTGGCTTGGTCCTCCTGCTGGGTGGGAGGATGTGTCCAGCAGGGAAACAGCCTACATTTCTCAGGAAGTGTCTCCCAGAGAGCTGGACAACCATAATGGAAGATGGTATTAGAGCGCAACAATGGAAAGTACAGGAGCACTGCAAAAGCAACCAGAAGCTGAATCAAGGGCTGGGAGCAGGCTGGGAGTGCTGCAGGAATGCAGACTTTCAGCTGCAGTGGGGGAGATGCATGTGGAGCCACGGGGGATCCCACATTTGCTGTAGTTACTCAACAGGAGAATGAGCTGTTTGCCAAATGGAAGAAAAGAGGGACTAGAAAATTATCACACAGAGATATGAGCAACTCAGGCAGTGAGAACAGCATTACTCTAATAAGTTGTTTAACTAGAAAAGCAACCCATACCCTCGAGGCAAGCTAATTTTATTGACATTAGAAGAGATTTATTTTTCTCTCTTTATCTACAATATACAATTCAGGAATTGTTTCCTGCAGATAAAAGCCTCGTTGTTATACGCACAATAAACTGAAGTAAAAATGATTCATGTTATTTCTATCTCCAAATTGAATCATGATTTAATTCAGCAGCAGGATAAAATCAAAGCTGCTCATCTAAATCAAGATTATTATTTATTTGTAAACTTCAGGTTCTTCCTTTCTAGCTTATTACTTGGCTGAAAACTCTACAGAACACTGACTTGCAAATGAATATGCTTTTCAGCAAATGCTGCAGTTTCTGTCTGCCAAGAAGATGCCTATTATCTATTATAACAGGTTATATGGTTATATAATATGCATTATTTTATCTGACATTGTTCTCTTCTGTTTCATACTAATGAATCATTTAAAATTTAAAGCAAACACAATGCATTCTCCCACATTTTGTTTTAAATGCACTTTGAGAAGGAAATCAGTTCCAGACTGGTTTCTTAACTTTGAATGGTGACAACATTCAGACAAACCAGTGACTTCGCTCTTTTCCAGCTACAGCGAAGGCTGCCTTATTGAAAGAAGTGCAGCATTCAACCTCAGCTACATTCCAGAGGTGAATTCTGTCTTTCTCGAACAAACACAGAAACCCTTGGAAAAACAATAAACATGTTTTCCCTGATTACTTTCAGTTTTTACTTCTAATCCCAGCCCAAAACTCTGGAAAGATTATTGGAAAATTAAATCAATTTCTTAAAGCTTTCTTAATAGTTTATCTAGCTTTGTAATTCCTTATCTACATTTACTTTTTGGGTATTTTTGTTTGGTTTTGAAATAGTTCTATCACGTGCAACATCCACATTTGTACCAAGAGTCCCACCCCATCAGGAAGGGTATTTCCAGTAATGTCACATCCAGTGACTTACAGTTAGGCTTAAGAAGAGGGTTTTGTTTCCCCCACCTTTTACGATCATGCTTAAAAACAACTACTACACAGTTACTTTTCCTAATGCAGGCTTTGTAGCAATATTTGCTAACTCAAACCTATGTGTGAAAGAAGACCTGCCCAGTAAATATAGGCACTCAGTGGTTTACTTCAAGACATTGGTCTTTAACGGCTTCTGATCTACTGTAAACTAAATGCCAATGTTTTCCACAAAATGCTGTCCACCTATGACAGGACAGACCAGTCTCACAGTACAGAAAATTGGTTAAGACATCTCTGTGTGACAGTCAAGCAGAATATGCACCTCTCACTCTATTTCTTACCTTTATGCTTTTCTTGAACATGTACCCTGGTGTTAAAGATCCTTTCCTAAGCAGCTCACTGAAGATAACAATTTGCTCAAAGAGAAACACCCTGCGTTCCTTTGGTCGAGACTGAACTCCGGAGTCCTGCTCTGTCACGTAGAAGGTGTCCTGCTGCAGCAGCTTGCCCTGGGCTGTCAGCTTACCCTGAAGAGCAATCAAAGCACCAATGTTACAAATTCTGACCCCGTGTGGTCCCATGAAATGATCTTCTATAGTCTGCAGTCCTCTCGTACCAGGTCTGCCAAAGACAACATTGCTGACATTCACTTACAACCCCCAAGTTGTAACCTGTGGGGTTATAACCCACAAGTCCCCTCCTGGATGTTCTAGGCTTGGAGAGAGCTGATAAGCTGTTAGTGCTTGGTGACTTTATAACAAACAGAACAGTCTGGTTCAATGTTTATTTTGCTTTGACAGCACAGATAAGATTCAGGCTTGCAGAAGCTTTTACAGATCTTGCATTTTGAAGAAACAACACCTTTATTGTTGCAAGTTTAGGATGACAGGCATATCACCTACCTCCACCTTTGAAACCTCACCAAAGTATGCAGCTCACCACTGTAGAAGGACAATTGCTAGGTAAATAGCTTGAGGTGGGGCTGATTGTGGAGACAATCACAGAAAGACAAAGCACCTTTCCTACCCTGGCTGTTATTAAAGTAAAACATACCTCAAAGCCTTGGAGGCGACCCAGGTTCATCATATCATTGCAACGTTTTGGTACAAGGCACATTAACTCAACTGCTTTCTGTTAAGAAGAACAAAGGTTGCATTGGTAAAAAGGGTCCCTAAAAGGAAAGTGTCAAATAATGAACTTCAATAGTGTGATCACTGCTAGAAGGTATTCATGGCAAGGTCCTCGTGTACTTGACATCTACGGTAATGTCTAAAAGAGAACTGTGCCTTCATCTTGTACTTCTGTCTTGATCTAAAGAGAAATACCACATTTGGAGTATCAGCAGGACCTTCAGCAATTGTCAAATACTGTGGTTTGCATTTCTCCATATAAAGAGCACTTAGATATTGCAGCCCCACTATCCAAACCATGAAAACGTACCTGTATTTCAGAGCACTCCAGACCAGCTTTTTCACTGTACCTCAGGAAATCCTGGAGAAAGCAGAAACGTTTGCATTAAGGCACTTCAGAAAGAGAAAAGAGAAGATGCCAGTTTTAAAAAAGAAGCAGCACAGTCACTGAGTGATTTTTCTGTGAAGGAACTTGTTGGAGACGACAGAGTGAGGTTCAGACCTGCCTAATTTTGGCTATCACCTTGAGACACCTAGGGATGGATATTCAGAAATGCTGAGTAATGGCATTGTGGGTAAAGTCGGCAGAAGCCATAGCAGTCAGACTTGGGGAAAAAATTACCATGGATTCCCCCAATTTTCAGACCAGAATATTGTGTAAATATTCAGAAGAGAGATATTCAGAAATGAAAGCTGCAGTGTTTATTAGAAGAGTATCATTCAGCAGCAAAGAATGGCTTTATCAGCACTCTTTCCTGAATATGTTGCAATCTCAAAAGTTTGATTGTGAGTTTGCTGTGAAATTTCAGAGGCTGAGAAGTCCTATTTGAAGTTTACAGAAATATTCTAACAGAAAATAAGGAATGTCTTCTGATTATCCCTGGTTACAAACAGCTCTCACAGACGAGACCCTCCTGCTCTCTGGCTATCTTTCACAGGGCTCAACCAATGCATGCTTACATATAAACACTCTTTCTTCCTAACATGATGAAGTTACTCTTGAATTAAAACTAAGGCTGATTGAAAATAACAGTGTCCAAGATACAGTGTAGTCCAAACCTCATCTTTCCACTCACCTTGAGAAGGAGCTGATATTTAGTTATTCTCTGAATGGGTTTGATCAGAAAGTCACTGATGGTCAGCCGTTGGTTTATTTCCTGTTGAACCTCCTAAAAAGTGAGGATTAAAAAACAATTGCAAACAAGCACAGAGTAAAGCAGAGAACACGATAATATGTCTCCGTGGAGACTTATTTCTACAGAAAGCTGATCTGTTCTTAATCTTTTGTTTGCAAGAGTGAATTTCAGAGGATTTAAAAGTCTGGCATCTCCTATCTAGGCAGGGACTGGGTAAAAGTCATGACCGAGCTGGAAGATATTTGAAAGCACAAGATTCCTTCCCCCCTTGGAGCTGACAGTGCTGCAAGGCCTGGAGACAGCTCTCCCCACTGCAGCAGGGATTTGCTCACAAACAAGTCCTACAGAACACGCCTCGTGCCCTTGGGTGAAACAAAACAGCTTTCTCTATTTAAACAAGCTTCCTTCACATTACTATCTAAGGTTGAGATATTATATGTGTCTCGTCCCAAAGACTTCTCGAATCAGACAAAGTTACTGGAAGTTTATGAGAGGCACCACCCAGCTCCAATGACTTTTACCTCCTCGTCTGTAGATTACAGATCAAAATGTCTGTTTTATTTATTTTGGACAGAATTCAATGTATTTGTGGCACTCCGAGGATGACAGTGAGTGCTGGATGAAGTAGTTATTAGAAATTAACAACATGAGAATTTGAGACAAATGGAAGAACATTTTTCCCCACAGTGCAGACTTCAGCAGCACTCACAATACCGACATCATCTGGAGTTTGTTTTAGACAAGCCTCACAGGTTACGGCATAGTCTACTAAGACTCACAGCTGTAGACAGCAATAACGTATAATAAGCCATGCTTACCTCAAAATAGGCCTCGTACTCAGCTACTATATATTCAGATCGTGGCTTGTTTTGGCAGTACACCACATACATGTGTAATCGCCGCTCCTGTGAAAGCAAGATGCACAGCAGCCTGGTGAGATATCGACTGCTATTCTGTTCTGCTAAGAAAAGCTGGCATAAAATTGCCTAGATGTTCTGCTTGGTCATATTCATTTTTGGTTTAATCAAAAATGTGCTGATATGGGAATGTAAATTGGCAACTGGTTCTGTTCTACAACTCTACCCTTTCAGCAAGGCAAAGGTTGCCTTGGTGGCAACCACTAAATTAAGAAATTAATTTCCCCCCAAAAATAAGAAGTCCATCAGAAGCTGATGATAATGTCTGGGGGAAATCCAGCTGCTCACTGAAGATGCATAACTATAGGTTACTTTATATCAAGTTTCAAATGCTAAAGTATCCAGCTGACACAAGCACATGTTTTTGAAGGGAGTCATCACACCCTAAAGGATGAGCAGACTAAAAGATAGGTAACCAAATAAAACTTACATGTTTAATAAAAAGCTGTGCTAAACGGTCATGCTCTTGAAGACATTTTTCCAGTTCAGCCAGGAAAAAGCTGAAAGAAAGGATATCAACATTTCCAACACTTCAGAAGACTTTTTTAGGTCGTCCCAGCAGCAAACCAGTCATTCGTCAGTAATACATCAACGCAGTTTTAGCTGTGGCATTCAATAATAAATGAAAAGAGAAGCTTGGCTTCAGCCCTCGGTGGAGGCATTTCTAGAACAGTGAACCAGAGCTCTGAAATATGGAGGTATTTTCTTGAAAACTATCCCCTCTTCTTTACTGTTACACTTACAGAAGTTTCAATGTTTTTAAACTGCCAATGATTACCTAACTGCGTTCTCCCCTGGGAACTTATAAAATAGAACTCTTCTGTGTATCTAAACATTTATGAAAACCCAACTGACACTTTACAAGGAGTTCTCAGTTACACGAGCAGATAGGGAGCACTGGTCAGCATGAAAGAGACACAAAAGTTTCCACCTGAATAAACAAATCAATACAGGCATGCTCTGTTTTACACTTATTTCTCAGTATGCTACTGTTAGTTATATTTATAAGCACAGCCTCTATCTTGACCTGCACCTTTGGTAGGTGCCTGTTTGAATGCTTAAAAGTTACATAAACGCAGTTCAGCTAAATTTCAGAAACACTGTTGTTACTCTAACTGGTAGGTAAACTCTGATATCTCCATTTCCACGATATTCCCTTTTCACTGCAGGATTTCTCTCCCAGATGCCTCCATATATTTCCCACAGTAGTCAAAGGCAGAGCATATACCAGCAACAGTTTGGTCCCAAGAAATCCCAGAATCTCAAAAAAGATGCACACTGAATATCTGTCCCAGCAAAATGTCTCTATGGCTGCCATCAGCTACAGCTACTTTCATAACTCAGTCTTGTATGAAAGTCAAATTCATCTGCATTTTAAGCAGACTTCTCGACCTAGATACACAGAACCAAAAATAGGGACTCTATGTGTTACAGAAAACTCATATCATCACACTTAAACAATGAATGACACTGGTAAAAATATTCTGTTGCTGACATAAACTTATTATTTTGTGAATGTTTTTCTGACATTTTTTGGTTTACGCTTGCAAGAGCTGTTGTCAGAAGCAGACCATGTGAGAGGCACCCAAGGAATGGGTGATGGCAAGGACACAGTGATTCCTTGGTGAGGGATACATCCAGAGCAGAAGAAAGACAGTGAGGCAATGTCCTTAGGAAGTAGTGCCCTACATTACCTGCTAATGTTCACTTAAAGTCAACTCAGATGTAAGGATACTGCATACCCCAATCCTTCATGAACAAATGGTTAGAAAGGAGCTTAAAAACGAACCAAACCAACAACTTACTCTTTGTGCCAGTCATAGATCTGGTGAATATTGCCAAACACTATCTTGTCTTTTCCTTTCATATCTTCAGAAACTCCCTTTTCCTCTATTCTCTTCATGAAGCCCTTTAGGATTAACAATCAGTGATTAGTAAAGGGTTTATATGAAGGGGGAACATAATTACACTCATTTTGTTCAAGGAAGTAAAATTTTTATGTCTTTTTTTCTTTGAATATCTCTTTATTCTGAATATCTGCAACAGTTTTACAAACCTTTATTAGATGTCACTGAAGTGACAAGTGCAATTAGAAGATAAAAATTAAACAAAAGTAGTTGATCATGCTCTTGGCTTTGCTGGTAAGAGGCAGAAGCCAGATTCTGCACAGACAAAATTCTTCTATTCATCACCATGAGTATTTTGTGGGAGCACAAAGCCATGCAAAGAGTTTAAAGAGTCACATGAACAGGATTTCTCACACCTCCTGTGAGTTTCTTTTTAAGTCTTTGGAGCACTGTGCTCCTGTCAGCTCTGCCAGTGGAGCATGATGTAAACAGAAGATAACACAAAGTCCTTCAAGTTTGGAAGCTCTCGAAAGCCGCTGTTAGATGGGCTGATAATCCTCCTTGGAATAGTGAATGCCAGAAGCATTCCCCAAAGCCTACTTCAATCAAGTGCCTCCAGTGCTAAGTACTTGCTAGGAATCAAACCAGACTGTGCATGTGGGTTGTCTCTGGCAGGTGATCCCTAGGGATCAGCCAGCCGTTTGCAAGTTCAAGCTCACAAAACCGTGACTGTTTGTCAAAAAAATGGCAAAAAAAAACAACCCAAACTCTCTAACAATAATCCACTGGCCACACACACATCTCAGAGCACATCCAAACCCAACCGTTGGGGAGGCACTCAAACACAGGACCGTAGTCCAGGTGGAAACTCAAGTAAAGTACGTGTTACCATTATAAAATATTAATTTGAAGTGAAGCTCACTGCATGACAGCAAGAATGGAACAAAGTAAAAGGAAAGGGCATAAATTATTCTCCACCACTGCTCTCAGGGCTGCTCTAGAGCAGGAAGCTGTTTGTCACAAGCAGGGTGGGCCAAGAAAAACCTTTGCACACTTGAGTTGAAACCTAAAATATAACATTTGTTAGATGGAAACAAAAATAGTTTCCAAAGGCATTTCTTCTTGTTTCTGTCAACATGAGAAGGGGACCATGGAAGCAAAATAAGGCAGTTTGTTTCTCATGCTGTATTTTTTGTTTTTGCCACTTTTCAGCATGCTGTTTGATAGAGGGAAAACATTCTGCGCAGCAGGGGTTGCTTCAGCTCACCTCCACAACAGTTCCCAAGTCTTTGACGTAATCTTTTTCAGTCTGGACCAGTTCATTTAAGACAAACCTAAATTAAAATAGAACATAAATCTATTTGACCATGCTCCTGGATGTTATAGTTTGCTACTTACCACGTATCACCTCCCAGCAAATATCCCACCAGCATCCCAGGAAATGCAACCCAACTCACTCTTAGCTCAGTGGAATGAAAACAACAAAAAATGTCACAATTCAGGACAGAGTAGTTCCAGCACTCTTATCTAGAGCATATCTCCTTTGTCCCCTCTTACATACTAGGTCCCCAGGCACAACAAGGTGTCTGTATTTTGAATTACCTCTCCCTGCCCTCCTGTCCTCTGTGCAGCCCTTCTGTTGGCAGTGGGGACACTTCCCAACCCATTTCAAAGCAAGGAAGAAAGGATTTCTTGCCCCAGTTCAGTTTTCATTTAGAAGTTTTAAACACTTGGAAAACAAATACCCCACCCTGCCTTAACACAGAGCTTAATCTGTCAGACTCAGTAATGTGTGTGGGTGTCTGGTGATTTACATTTATCTGATAATCCTGGGTAGGCAAGTTAGCTAATGAAGGTCTGATGCACACAAACAGCACTAAACTAAAAAAAAAAAAAAAACCCTCTTTTTTATGTCAAACTGCCTAATCACATCATGTTCCTTTAAGGACAATTTCAAAAGTTACAGCTTGCTGCAGACAGTTTTCCTCTCATTACGCCAATACATGGATTTGGCACATGACAAATAAACTCCATCTGTGCTTGAACTCGCTCCGGCAGCAACAAGGCTAACAAGATAGAGGAGTGCTTTCATGTCTAATATCTCTCCCCTCACATCAATCAGCAGGTCAGCCCACTTGAAGAGATAGGGCTAAGGGTGAACAGTGCTAAGATAAAAGGAAAAAAAAACCACAGGCTTGCTTTTGGCTCCAGTGCAACAGCAGCTAAGGTGTCCCCTGCTTGGATGGAGCAGAGGAGACGCTTGGATGTGCAGCAGGGAGAGGTCAAGCAGCTTCTCCTTCATGTAGGAGTGAAATCCAGCCCCCTGGGCAGAGGCCACGGCTGGCAGCGGTGATGCCAGATGCTTGTGCTCTCTTCATTGTCCTGCCAAGCTGCGTGCCTGGGTAGTAAACACAAGCAGGGCAAAAGGCTGCTCTTTGGCAAGGCAGCAGCATGCATCCTGGATGAGCACGGCCCATTCCTCTGGCTGTAGGAGTACAGCTGGCCAAAGCCTGCTCTAAGAATGAAGGCAGGGGTAGCACCCAGTGCTGCAATGATAGGTGGGCAGGTGTGAACCAAAGCTTGCTGTGTCAACCACACGTCTGCCAGGTGAACACACTAAACCTCAGCTGGTTCTCCAAAGTCTCTCTGGCATTGGACTCTGAAGGCAGTCCCAGATTTCAGGTTTCTAAGACGTATGCTGCTAAAACATTGAGTTCCCTCAATTGATTTGATAACAGAGAGCAAAGCCAGGCGGGCAGTTATGTGTTGACTGCACAACAGTAGTTAAAATGGCATTAAATACAGCAAGAGTCTAGCCCTCTCACTTCTGAATAAGTTCCAGCATCTGGATATGTTGGTAACCTCACATTAAATCTGCAAGAGTAATGGACAGTAGATGATGGATGGCTGGACTCAATGACCTTAGAGGTCTTTTCCAATCTTAATGATTCTATGATTTTATTAGGACCACTGTCTTGCTGCTCACAGAAATGAAGCAATCAGGGCTGATGGCTACCTAACACTGAGGCTAACTGCCGACACATGCTGCCAGAGGCAGGAAATTGCTGCCCATGCCTGTGCAAGGATTCAATTGCTGTTTTGTGGGAAATGGGGGTCAAAGCTTGAGTTTGAAGCTGCCTAACATGGTTATGGAATTAAACAGTGAGAGACAGAGCACAGACAGTGGGGAGCTGGAGAGAAGACAGATGCCTTGTGCTGAAAGCCACTAGCAGGTGCTCCCAAACATCCTGGCATTTCGGAAATCTGGATGGAGGCAGCCGCTAATTACACGAAACATGCTGCCAGTCCCTCTGCCAGAAGCACTTCGAGTCAGAAATGTCCCCGTGCTTACAGTGCACTTACAGTGGCAAGGTCTCTGCTCTGCAACACAACCTGCAGTTAGCTGTCAGTTATCTCATGAATGAAGGCCTACCAGAAAAAAGCAAGGACTTGAAACAGCATCTGTCAGCCTGCACATGAAGGTATGCCATAATGATGATAAACACTGAAGGCACAAGTATTATTTTTGTTGTATTTATGGAAGTGTATAAATATGTTAAAAAAAACAACCTTTTTAAGCTGTCACCCTTTCTTTCCTCTTCCATCACTAGGAACACAGAAGTTTCATTTTCCATATGAAACTTACTCTTCAAAAGCATTTTCCCACCACAAATGCTTCTGAAAATGCCCCTTCCTTCACCAATGCAAAAGAACATTATCTCACTCACAAAGTCCTCATGGGCTCTCAGCACTCTTCCTTGAGGGTCAACAATATATGCCCCTTCATGTAATGGTTTTACCTCTGGCACCTCTGTAATTAAGTCAAACACCTCAGTAATTCCACGTGTAACTGCCCAGAGGCTCCTACAGTAACATGTATTGGCTATCTGGGGAAAAAGCTGTAAATCTTAAAGAAGGCAAATGAGCTTCCTGGGTGCAAAATGCTTCTCTGAAGTATTTTTGCAGGTTAAGAAGAAACAGAAGCAGCAAAACACAGTTTTATTCCCAGTTCCCTCTTGCTCGCTGACTACAAAGTATTCTTTCCATGCAGCCACATGTCCTACTTGGGTGCATATTTCAGAAATCAGAATCAACAAGGGAACTTACATCCTGCCTCTCATTGCTTTGGCTTTTTGTTCCTCTTCAAGGTTTCTTGGGGGAGTTGAAGGCGTCATTCCTTCATTCAAGCAGCCTGTGGCATCTTTTAAGCTTCCTCGGTAAGATCCTCCTTCAAGGGTCTAAAAAAGCCCCAAAAAAAGATAGAAAAAAATTATTATCCTTGAACTCCAGCATCAGTGTTACCTCCTGTTTCAAGTCAACTCTGCAATCAACAGTGCAGTTTAAAACCCAGAGGAGCCATAATTTCCCATAGGACGTAGTGAGACAGGTTCTGATACAAACCCTCCTCCCCCAAACATAGCATTAAACCAGAAAAGATGTCCTTTTGCCAGAAGGCGCAAAAAGATGTTCCAGTAGCCCCAGGATGAGAAATCTCTTCCAAATTCAAAACAACCTGAAAACATCCCAGTATCACAACCAGACCCAAGGTTAGGCTACATGTGGTCGGTCTTTCTCTGCCAAAGACTGAATAAGAATTCCTAGCAGCAAAGTAAGACACAAAGTGAAACAAACACTTGGGTACATAGTAACATTCCACGATGATTAAAGTTTCTCCCAAATCCCTGGAAAGTAATTGCAGTTGACCCAACAGCACATATGGGAGGGAGAGGAAAAAAAAAAACCCGCTGAAAATACATATAACTGGGTTAATGTAATACTTTTAATTTTTTTAGTCTCTCGATGGACTAAAACTATTCTGAGTAAATTTTCTGGGAATGTCCTTCTCAGTTTCCCATGCACCAAAAAGATCTTTTGCCACTTACTCTAATACTGCACCCTCTGAACACAGACTACCATCACGTACGAACATCTCAATCAAAGAGGATGCCAAAACCCTCAGAAATGAGTCACTAGATAAAGTGGCTTGCACAGTTACTGTATTTCAATGATCATTGGTTTCCTTTGTGTTGCTTTGGCCCTCTCCATCCTTCCAATACATGGAAGGAAATAAACCTTGTACGTGCATCACAAATCTGCTTTAATCCTGATTAATCAAGTGAAACACCCTAAAATCAAGCATTTAGCTAATTTTAGAGGTCCTGAGACATGTAGAAAAAGGAATAGCCTTTACATTAACATTCTGAATCGTCTGGGGGAAAACTTAGGAGAAGCTAATATATGAAACAGGATATTATTCCTCCTCCAATAGACATGGGACCACACATGCAGAGTGTGCAATACTGAAACAGGGTTAATAAAAGCATAGCAGATGAAGGTGGAAAGCAAAGAAACCAGAAACAGAGGGAGACTGTAAAGCCCTTCCTTAAGGCCATGTTGTTTTCACAGTGCTAAACTTACCAGCTTACTTTTGACCAACTGTTCTATTGCACTGACAAGATCCGCAGCAGTTGGGACATCAGAGGAGCTCTGCCGAGCAGCTAGCAAAGAAGAGGACTGCAAGACACCAGGGTGCAAAGGAGAAGTTAGCAGGATGAGAAGGGGACGGGAAACCAGTGGTCAGTGAAGCAGCTTCTGAGATGGGAGAAAAATGAATGCAGAAGGGGAGCAGGAGGGTTAGAGTCACAGGCACAATCAAATGAGAGAGTTTTGCTGTATCAACAAGCATAGAATTGCCAAGTCTGGCTGCACATCCCTTTGCAGCATTTCCAAGGCCAGGAACCAGGGAATGGCATCAAAGAACTGAAGTTCATTTGCAACCAGCTTACAATACACTGAATGTCTGTTGGCTTCTCCTTCCATGGACATCTATGGTCTTACAGTCTCCAGAAAATTGATCTTCTTACTGCAGATGTAAGAAATTACCCCCTCCCCCATATTGAATAAATGCAATAAGTGAAAGTACGCATGGAATTACAGGGGATAAAATCATTCTTCCCCAGTTCCTTCCCCAAAGACTAACTGCAACTTCACATGAACTCCTCAGACGACACCCTGCACTGCAACTTCAGCCATCCAAAAATCTGTATCTTTTCTCTTCCCTCTCTGCAATCAGTGTAGAGAAAATGCCCTTGTGTACTTCATCCATCCTAAGTACTCGGTGCACTCTTTGGAGATGCTGACTTATCCTAGTGACATCAATTTCACTGCTATATCTCTGCTTGTTGGTCACAGGTATTCAATTTCAGGTATCTGATCTCATGCAACATTTTTGGACATCTTCACATTCAGACTGATAGCTGCCAGTTGTACAAACCCCCTGACATGCCAAGACATCATTACAGTGATGCCAAAAACCTTCTCATGCCCAGTGAAGCATGGCATCCTTGCATACTACTCAGCTTCAGCTTCAGGTTTGTGCTCTACATGGGGTGCCCTCTTAGCCCATGTAGGTCTTTGTCCTAAGAAACCTCAGTCTAAAAAACAGTACTCAGATGACAGCTGTAGGAATTGGTATTTATTGGTATTTGTTATCCCACCTGTATGAGTGTTTATTCCAAACTACTAGCACTGACTAAAACTCTAAACCTTTCAGCAATCAGCTTTTGGCAGGCAGACACAGACTAACCATGGCTAATTCTTTAAAAAATCTGCACTAGAATTATGAAAAAGCTGATTCATCTCTCAGCCGCTTGATAAAGGTCTTCTGCAGAGCACCTATTTCAGCAAAGTCATCAGGCAGGTGCCAATGAACAAGAGATCAAATAGTGCTGGGGAGTAAGTGGAAAGGTGATGGCAGGAATTAGGCAGTGGGCCATCTCTTCCAGCAGCCCTTTGGTGAGTGACACAGCCTCAGGACACAGAAAAGGCAAAGGAGGCTAATTTTAACCAGAAGCTTCATGACAGAACAGGAAAGAGAACAGCCTGCCCCTTGTAGTCTCATCTTTCACTCAAATAATACATCTAATCAACAGTTCTAATTACAACAACAACAAAAATTACAGGTAATCAGGCTGGTAATTGAGGAATTAGGCTGGTAATGCAGGAAACTCATACAAATGGAAAAGCTCAGACAGAAGGTTTCACCTTCAATGCAATGGGCACGTCTAGGATCAAAAAGGCTGAGACAGAGATACTGGACAAACACGTTGACTGTACTGCCTAACATAACCCTTCTTGCTGGAGGAGTCCAACTTTTGGGGGCACTGAGCAGCTGTTGCTCTCACTTATTTTAACTGAAATTGCTCAGTATCTCTGAAAAGTATAGAATGGCAGGATTTTAAAGGGAGCACAGGTGCGTTTGCTGCCTAAAAATCTTTCAGGGTGAAGCAAAACACTTCTGTGATGAACGAAAGAGCCTGGTTTGTGTAGGGCACATTGAAAAGTGGCATTTCAATTCCCTATTGAGTAATACAAATTTTTAATATGAAGATCTATGATAATTTTTGGTTATGCGCCTCCAAGAGCAGTGAGGCATTGTCACTGTTCAAGAAAAGAGTAGACGTGACACTGAGGGACATGGCTTAGTGGACATGGTGGGAATTGGTTGATGGTTGGACTAGATGATCTTAGAGGTCTTTTCCAACGTTAATGATTCTGTGAACTCTGTGATCTGTGATCACTGCTGTCTTGCACATGGGCACTGTGGATGTCCCTCCTGTACTGCTTCTTCCCCAACCCACAGGCTGTACAAACAAGCAGTAACAGGACATGCCCAATATCTAGGACCAAGTAACACAGTTAAAGAGCTTTTGGCTCCAGACTGGCTCAGACATCGCTCACGCGGGGCTTTGGTGCCAGGGAGTTAGGAACATAAAGCGAATAGGGGAAGAAAAAGAGAACAAAAAAAGGTCTCAGATGCATCTTGTTCTATTTCATCCTCTCTTTTAGGACTGAGTGAAGAAATAGGATGCCAAAATGCTCTATAAAGCTCTGACATCTGGAGAGGAAAACAGTTTAGTTCCACAAGATTGGTGCTGTCAGAAACATTTTTACAGAATAGTGAAATGACGCAGCGTGTTAAAAAACAAAAGTAATGACCACAACAAGAGCAGGGTTTTGCTGTTTTGTCTTGTCTGGCTTTCTTTAAATAACAACCCCCCAACATGTAGCTAAAAGCCCCAAAGAGCAAGCCAGGAGCTCTTGTGCTGGGCACGGATCCACCAGAGCAGCACTCGCAGTGCTCAGAGGGCAGCAGTCTGCACTTCCAGCTGCTTCCTTCTGGCCTCGCTGCCACCATCATGTTGTAACATTTCCTGACAGATTAGCAGTGAGCCCCGAGCCCTTTCCTCCACCACTCTGCTATGTGAGTCTCACAGTTGTTTGCTCCAAACTCCTGCCTGAACCGTACCCAAGAACATTCTGGGTTGTTGTGTTTGGGTTGGGTTTTTTTGTGTTTTTTTTTTCTTTTCTTAACATTTTATTAATCTCCCCTATCCTTGCTTCTTGGCATGCAGTAATTACAATCAGAGGATAGAGATACAGAAGTGTCAGTGCTAAAAACAGATGCCAGCAGGAAAGCAGGAAGCAGCTAGATGGGGGGATCGATTTCTGCAAGGGAGATGCCAGCACTGGGAATGGGTAAAGAGCACACGCACAGACAGGACCTGTGCTATCTGAGAAACACTTTCATAACCAAATTCACAGATTCTCAGCTCAAGTACAAAACAGTAATTGAAGGACTCTGTGAACAACTACACCATCTATGGCAACAAATTCCTGATGTAATGCTCTACAGACCCAAACTAACAGCTGAGAACTATGACGGGCAACATGGCACTCAAAGACCAAGGCCCTCTGCACTCCTGAGAGAAACTTCAGGTCCCTTGGGAGCTTCTACACTAAGTGGAGCTGATACACATATAACCCAGAAATGCTGAATGATATGACTGGGTGGGATTTCCCACCTGAAAGTTTAAAGCAATTGAGAGCTGAGGTCGTATGGTGAGACAATCACACAGAAAGGTTAGGGTCAGGGTTGTGCAGAGCACAAGTTATCTAGCTCTTGGTAAGGGTGGTATTTTGGATTCAGGCAGACTCCATCCATCACCTGTCCTTTTCCTCAGGCCCAGGCTGCCATGAAATACCACTGCTACTGTGACTTCCAGCCACTGGCAACAGGATTCTATGATTCTGTGACTCTATGACACTTTTGAAACCTATGTGGAGAACATGCACAATCAGCCTGAGAGGAATTTCTGACCCCACACAACACAAACACACAACACCTGTCATAAAATGAGATAGCAAGGCTAAACTGCTCATCAGGCACTATTTGTAAATATAGAAAGGTATCAGGTTATGATTCACACACAGATGTCTGTTGTAAACACACACCTAAGCCCAGACACTGGAAGACCTCCGTGAAATGACTATGAGACAACTACATGAAAAAATGCTTTAAGAAAATGTTTAAGAACAGCAAATTAGTACAGTAAGGGAGGTCTTACCATCTCATCTTGGGTTGGATCATTGTCAAAAATCTTCATAGGAGGAGGAAGAGGTGTGTGAGATTCTTCATCTGGCTCATCTTCTCCCCAGCCTTTCTTGCTCTTCTAAGAAAAATGAAATAAAATTAGAGGCAAGTAGGGGATTCTTTTTATCTTTTTAGACATTTGATCCCTACCACCAGGCTTTGAGTCCACTAGTAATACTAAAACTACCTCAGTATGGCAGTGAAGAGAGTTGTAGGTAATACCAAGTATCATAAAAAAGAAGCAATAAAGATGTATGGTCTTGCCTGTTAATCCTTGTGCACTGCTTTTTTCAGAAAATATAGGTACTGTGTGAGATAAGAGCTAAGGCAGTTACATCTGTCTGCATGCTGACAGAAAAACATTTTCTAATTTAAATGAGAACTCGATGTACAGTTTTCAAAATGTGTTTCTCTATTTGCTTTCAGTTCGTAACCTCTCCATTTTCTGCCTGTGATTCCACATTTATCAGGAAAGAGCCATTCTAGCAAAGAACATGCCTGCAGAGAAACTGCAGCTACAAATATGCAGCTGGTTTAACAGAAATGTGGCTATTTCTCTGAGTGTTCTCTTTCAGTAAGGAATTACACTGCCATAGCAGGAGAAAGGTGATATGAACCTCAGCAAGGAGTGATAACAGCTGCTCAGAAATAGCTTCATTTCTGTCTTTGGCAGATTTCCAGCAGGCTATTAAAAAAAGTCTCGTTAAATGATAACAATAAATGCAGACTCTGAAATGTTCCCTGTGTATTACATTGTTCTTTGGAAGACAGTGCTGTATGCAGCACAGCTTTAATCCATTTAATTTTTCATACAATTCGCTGCTCCTTGTAGACCCTAAGCGAGCTACATTCGCTTAAGCATGAATCACCCACCACCATCAGAGATTCTTTCCTGCAACAGACACCAACACCCACCTCATCTGCGCTGTCTCCTTGAGGAGTGGTTTCATCTCCAGTCTTTGGTGAGCCGAGGTCAAAACTCTTCCTGCCATCTCGCACCTTCTTTTGCTTCTTGATGTTGCTCTCGGCCTTCCCACTGTTCAACCGGCGCACGGGGCTCGTCAGCCATTTCTTCAGTGTGTTGGTCGAGCGCTTGGGGCCGGGAGAGCTCTGGATGGAGTTGAGGGATGGCTGGGGCTGTAAGTTGGCCACTGAATCGGACTTGCCCCCGTTTTCATTGGAAGAGACCGAATATGCCTCTGCAAGAAAACAGTGCACATGACGGATTAAAACAGCCCCTCTCCTGTTTCCTAGCTCACATCAAACACTTGGCATTCCTCAACATGAAAACACAAGATGCTTCGATGGAAAATTTTGTGACCTCTGAACATTGTGTAATCTTCGTTGCATGCCAGAGAGGAATATGCCATGCAACATGCATCTTTTACAATCTTACACACTTTACCACACATCTGTCCTTACGAAAGGTCACAGGCAGCACAGTTACCCAGTTTTTGATGAGAGCCTGAATTTCATGTTCAGTGCTGAATTTCTCAGCTTCTTCTCACAGATTTCATTGTGAATTGCCAGGAAGAAGCTAGGCATGAAGAGCAGATTACTACAAGAGACCCGAGAGCCACCAATACTTTGTCAGGTCATGACGACATAAATGTTTCTCAGTCCTAGCCAGACCCAATAACATTACTGTTGGTTTGACTGCATATTAACTTTTGAAGGTTATTTGAAGCACCTTGAAATTATCTGCTTTGTCCCTGAAAGTAATTTGTTAGAAGACTTCAAACCTACTCTAGAACTATGAAATTGAAATGAACAATTACAAAAGATGACAAATTGTTCAAAGGAACCAAAGGAAACACCCAAGTTGATACAAGGCAGGCTTTAAACCAAAGATTTTCATTATGTCCTATGCAGGAGACTCTGCTGAACCATATCCAACTGTGATTATCAATACACATGTTCAGGTCCATGCCTTGGAAATGGGACAACCTCCCTCACCCCCCGAAGCAAAGACCAAAAATGTGCCAATATCAATAAGTCTTTAGAAACAAAGCAAACAAGTTGCTGGAACATTTCTCAATTGCCCTTTAAGAACAAGTGTCCTGCTCTCACCTTCCTGAAACTGTGGCAAAAGCAACTGCCTCCCCAGGAGCAACCGGGGACCATGACGTTTTATTTCATTCAGCTCAAGAAGAAATCACTATTTATTTTTACAGAATTCAGAAATTGTCACACTCCCATAAAGTATGTCTCATATTGTACATCAGAAAGCAGTCATCTAACATTACTGCACATTTTTAGATGCTTATCTCTGAGTCTCCTAACCAACCCAGCAGAAAACAAAAACATGAGTTACAGCACACGAATGCAGCCTGGTGCATGCAGTCACTTTCAGTCCAACAACAAACACCATTGCGGATATTGGGTAATGCACATGCTGAGGGAGAGCTGCCCTCCCAGAGAACAGTTGCCTATTCTGATTTAGAAGCCAGCAGAGATTGCAGCCTACCTTGTAAAGTGCAGTTCCGAGACATCACAACTAGACAGCCTCAGTCAGAGGTCAAACCAATGATTTATTACGTATCTGGCATCAAAAATCATGTACTTAGAACACGTGCAAATAACTGTAACCAAGTAGAATAAGTCAAAGTCCATTTCCCTGAGAGCAGAAAATACACTTGTCTGTTTTCTGACAACGGGAGGAGCTGGAGTGAGTGTGCCTGGGAAGATGGCAGATCCCAGGAAGAGCTGCTCAGATCTTTCTGGTCCACTGCTTTCAGACATTCCTCCATCAGGGCAAAGCAGGAGTCTTATCTCAGAAAGGCCTGCTTTCAGCCAGCTCCTGCTGATATTCTGTGAATGTGTAATAGCGTTAAATGAACGAGCGCGAGATAATATTTGTCTGTGGGCAGCTTATCTTCCATTCAATGGGCTTCAGATAGCCTCCTGGGGTGGGCTCCACGTGATGCTCAGGCAGTTTTTCAGCACACCTTGCATCAGCACAATTCAGGCTCTCAAGACAGTGATTTTGAGTGCTTGGGCAGCTCATAGAGTGTGTGCACCTTCACCCTGCTCTCCATGCCCCCAACCAGAAAGTCCTACAGCAATGGGAGCTGTGCTGCAGGCATGGAAGGAGAAGTGCTGAAAGAGTTCAGGTAGGAGGTGGAGTCACTGTCCCTGGAGGTGTTCAAGAAATGTTGAGATCTGGCACTGAGGGACACAGTTAGTGGGCAGGGTGGGGATGGGTTGATGGTTGAACTAGATGGCCTTAGAGGTCTGTTCCAAGCACAATGATTTTCTGATCCTTTTGTTCACCTCTCTGCATGCTGTCCCTTTCAGGGATGTAATCTGGGGAAGGCACGTGTAACACAGACTTTGTGGGGGAGAGGGCTTAGGCAAGAGGTGGAGTGAAAACGTGGACAAACTATCTTCCATGTCTTTGTTAATTAATGCACAGAGAGGCTTTTACTATATCCTGGAAGCAGCATAGCCCAAACTACAACTTTGATCCAAAGGCACCTTGTCAATTTACCTATTAGTAATGGAAGGGAGCTGATAGGAGGTGAAATGGAGTCTGATCCAACCCCACCAGCCCAAGGACTGTCAGGAACTCTCCACTGCCACCCAAGAAAAGGCAGTAGTGAGGCAGAAACACTCAAAGTCCCACAGCTGGCCAACAGACTACCATCACCAATTGTAGGAATTTTGTCTGAAGTTTAACCTACAACCAATAATGATCTCCAAACTGATCGCCAGGCTTCCAGACCAGCAAGTGAAGAATACTGCCAGCCCAAAAGTTTCAAGAAGCTTTGGGTAGTGAGGAGTGTTACACAGTGAAACAATCCTACTTGAAGTAGGCTTGTGACTTTCCTGCTCAAGGTCATGGCAATGGTAATGGAAAAGGCTATTTACCAGGAATGGCCTATTTTCCATACCCCTAGGACTAGGCACATGACCCTAGCAAATATCAAGTCTCCTTCACTCTCCCTGCCTGCTGCATGTCCCAGCTCACCACTGTTTTGGATCAGGGAGGGAGACCTGGGCTTGGTTGGCCATGCAGCAGTTCAAGGCTGGACATGGAGACTGCCCTAGCCTTGTCTTCTTTCTGGACATGAGTGTGCTCTCTAGCTGGAGGACAGGCAGGGAAACAGAATGGAAAGGACATATGTCTGCTACCCAGACACCATGAGAACCTCCAGCGTTGGGTGGCTCTGCTCAGTACCCAACACTTGTACAAAGCACTCCCACCTCATTGTCTTATTCCCCACCATGAACAAACATGTGCTGTCCAAAAACACACACCTACAATCCATACACAATATTCATAATCTTTCCCCCTCCCCCGCCCCCCCAAAGGAATTGCCAATACGGCCATATTCTTAAATGAGTCACACTTGCTATTTGCCATCCCTGCTGAGAATGACTTTTTTACACATAATACAGGTCAACCTGACACAGTCACAAAGGCAAGAGTTGAAGAAAGAGCAGAGCTCGCTTAACGACAGACAGAGAAATGAAACACATGAAATCTGCCAGGAAAGACTTTTGGGATGACCTCCAAAACCCTGCTTGTGTGAGCTGCACTGCTTCTGTGACACGTACCACTACAAACACATTTATCATGGCACGTGGTAGGAGGTGGAGATCCAAACACGGAGTGGATCAAGCAGAACACATTACTGTGCTCTTCTTGCAAAGCACTAGCACATATGCGCTCTGCAAAGTGTACTGTGAGAGCTGTCTGGAAGCAGACTGTGCTCAAGAAGAGCCAGTGAGCACTTCGAGTGTGACACAGCGGCTCATGGTGCAGTAATTCAGGCACCCACAGAAACAAGTGGCTGAAGGCACACCGCAGCAGCTCTGCAGGCACTGCGGGGCTGGCAGCGAGCTGCACTGCGTGGTCATCGTGTCACTGTAGGCCTGTCTAAAAAAAGATCTCTGGTGAAGCGGGACGGGTGCGTGGAGGTCAGCAGATGAGTGTGGCTAGATGGACTTCCTGGCCAACCCAGTCATTCAGCGAGGAGAAATGACAGTTTCCAAAACACCCCTAAGCGAATCTCCAAGAAACTTCTGGCAATATGACTATGGCAGATACACAGCCAGTGCAAAGAGTTTTAACATTCAGAGCTTCCACACCGCCAGAGTCATGAAATGCTTGCTGTTGCTGCAGTGAACAGACGGCTACAAAAGCACAGCTCTTTTACTTGGAAAATGGAAGGTTCCAGCTCTGTGCAATGCTGGGTGAAAGGAAAAACAAAAACCTCACAGATGTCTTCTAGCGGTATGGCTGTATTCCCACTTGAGCCAGTAGGAATTGCTGTTGGAACTGAACACCAAGACGTTTTATTTTTACCTCCCCGTTCCCCAGAGCACACAGGGGAGCAGAGGTCTGACCAGGATAACACAGCATCGGATCCATCTGCAGAACCCGAGTCTGTAACATGAAGTGGGAAAGGCTTCTCTTTTTGATCCATACTAACCGTAGACTATTTATGATAGGAGGGAAGTATGCTTTGATAACCAGACGTTAATACAGAACAGGGCTATGAAGATGCATAACTATGCCAGGACACACTCCTGCTTGAGCTAAGAAGAGGTGAATCATTACATGGGACCAGAGGGTGTAGGCACGGCTCCAATTCTCACCCCTGAAAAACAGCCTGAGAGAAAAGGATTTTTTCACAGAAGCCAGAGAAGACAAGCCAGAGTGGGACCTTGGTAATTCTGTTAGCATGTGCATGTAAATCAATTTTTTTTTTTTTTTTCCACAAAAATAATTCCACTCATGAATGAAAGCCAATAATGACAATCTGACCAATGAGCACATAAATTAACACCGCTCTGCTCAGCAGAGCCCATTTCCCATATTCAGTGATTGCTGTAAAATAACATTTATGACAAAGACAGAATTGAATCAGATGTCGATGAAAGACTGACTCGGTCCTTTCTCAAGCTACATCTTCCTGAAGGACAGGAATCTCTGAAGCAGAAAATCCTGGAAAGAGGGAGGTACCCAGACTCCCCCTGTGCACAAGTACATCCCCTATGTTAGTATTACGCACTAAACAAACAAGGATCATCCAAGACACCAAAATTCACCCCTCCCCCTCCCCCCCCGGCCCCGTCCAAGAGCAGCTCTTGCATCCAAAAGGCTGTAGGCTCCAGGTCACATCTCAAGGCCCCACGAAGCTTCATGAGCTCCCTGGGGCTCTACCACCTCCTGTTTTCTCCAGCACTAAAG